AAAAAAAAAGACAAAGCTACCACTAACTTGCGAGTCGGAGGGGCCAAAGTCGGGGATCGCCTGACGAAAGCCATTTTTGTAGGTATCCCGTGCCACGCATGCATCCCCGCCTCTGAGGTCTCTGATCGACGTCCCCGCGGTGCGCCATCGAGCTACCTCGGATTGGAGAACGTCGATCAAAACCCCGTCGCGAGGACCCGATCGACCCTAGCAGCTAGCTCAATTGACAGGAGGCTCCCGACATCGACCCGTGGACCAGGTCATGCTGACTCAATAGCCACGATACATCTGTTCACCAACACTAAACATAATGACTTGTTAAGTATAAAAAAAACATCGATTATGCATGAGATTTTTTCTCAAAAAAAATAATGAATTGTTTATAAGGAATACGATATAGATATTAGAGTTACTCATAAATAAAATATTAAAATATTATAAATAAGATAATAAGATATCTATAAGGTACAAAAGATTATATATTCATATACAAAATATCATATCAACTTAAAATTATGTGATTTTTATATGCTAATTCTCTAAATTATCTCGACAATAGAAATTTCACTTTATGATTTATATGCATTGAATGGATAATTTTTAAGAATAGTATAACATAATTATGAAATTTTATCTAAAAATTTGGTTGGTCAAATTCAATTGCTAAATCGCTGAAAATACTTTCTAACAAATTATAATAATCTTCTCTGATAAGAACTATAACAGTTCGTTATAACATAAAGTAATTGATAGTTTATGATAATAATAATAATAACACCCCCCAGGATCAAATGTTATCATGACCAAGCAATGAAATTGAGATGAGAACATCCAAGACACCGTTCAACAACCTTTAGATGCGATAAGAATACCATAGCAGTAAGAGGGTCATACCAGGTTGAGACACGAGGGTTGGAAGCAGGACTCCTTTGCACACCTACTGCGCGATGAGAACTCAACAGGAACTCGTTTGAGAAAATCGAAACCCCAGGAGACGGTTGCGATCTGTCAAACGATGAGGAATAGGAGAACAAAGGGTAGAACAAGAAGCGGAAGCCCCACAAATATAAGAAGAAGAGGAAGACGGTGGTGGATCTTATACGGCGTGCAGCACTGTTTTAGATGGTTGCCTATCCATAATTGACTCACTCAGTCGTTCGTCTACTTCTCGTCTATGCCGTTGAGCAAACGTCGAGCTTGCTTTAGAGAGACGTGAATGAGGAACACAAAGTAGGTGCTGATGTAGTATTGGTAAGAATAATGACAGTTGAACTTCTTGTGAAGTTTTGCTTGTGTAATTCCCCTTCGATCTCTACGTAGAAAATTAAGGCTAGAGCTGACTTCGTGATCGCCAATAACGTTGACCTGAAGAGCGGAGGCCACACGGGTAGCTCGAGGCGACTGTAATTTTACAGTAATTGTCAGAGTCCTCACACCATTTTCCATCATTTTCAAAAATATTATTAAATTTTAAGAAATCTGGTGTGACGAGTTGAACTGACCTCATCTGATCTGCTTTCGAAAGCCTGTTTTATCCATATATGATGAGAGAGATGTACTTCTCCGACAAATAAATACAAGAATAATATGAAATATGGAAAAAAAAAATTTATCTAGATGAGTATAATTCGTATAGATAACTGAGTAGATCAGACCTGAATTCATATGATATCCCTGTCAGAATTTATCACGATCCACATGTCAGGGCTGAATCGGACAGAGAATACATGTAGCACACAGTTCAGTTCAGCTGCAATCATCAATTCCGGATCCTACTCATGATCATGATCGACAAATATGAGCGAGTTACTTCGGTTGCGCTGAAAGAAATCGACCGAAAAGGTAGCAGTGACGGATGGGCATAACAGATTAGTCCGATGCAAAGAATACACTGTTTCCACTATATAACAGAACAACATATGACTGATGGTCATTACAGATGTATATCCCAGACGGTAAAAACCTTAAATGTCTATGACCCCAAACTCGGTAGCATGGCGCACTCGTTACACTTCAGATGAAGCCATAGTCCAACAATTCCCACCTGAATGAGGGGCACACAAAGAACACTTGCGGTGGAGTCTTAAATAGCAGTCCGACACAGACACAGACGGCCGCGATACCCACCAGGGACAGCATTACTGGTCTATACAGCATAGTCCTTGCCACGGAGTTTGGGTAAACCAGCTGTTGGCTGCACCTGTTGCAGTAGGGTTGCGGTTTTGTGCTCAACCAGATCCTGCTTATCTCAGAAACACTTGGTTTACTGGATTTTAGTGCATCTACTAGCTTATCGGAGGCATCTCCGGAGACGTTGAGGACCACTTGACTCGGGCTGCTTTGCTTATCGATTTTATTCTGAACCAATCTTACGTATGAATCATGGCCCTGAGCAAGGGCATAGCCTTCAGGAGTGAATCCAGTACTGTCTTGTGCGCTCTTCCATGCCCTAATTCCCAGCTGGCAGGCAGAGACCAAAACAGGCTGAGTGAAACATTCCCGCATAAAAACAGCAGCGGAGACTAATTGAGACAAGAGTAAGCATTAACTGGACTAGGGAAAAAAAAGGAAGAACTACAGTCAGTTCATACATAAGAGTTGTAAGAGTTAAAGAACCAAAAATGTAGGTGTGGAGTAATCAATCTTTGCAGAGCATTTGAACCTAAGATGTATGAGATGAAACTGTAGCCACATTAAGGAAAAAAGTTGTAGGTTCGACAAGTTACCAGCACTTTGCAACACCATTGCAGATCATTTTCTATGTGATTTGGCCTAGTAGCATGCTGGTAAAATGAGATTCAGTGACAAAAATGGTGTGAGAAATTAGTTGGTAGTGACACTGAGCTTATGGCAACTATTTTAATGATTACGTTTTGACTATGAAAATAAAATGTTTTGATCACAAAAAAAAGAGTGATCATAGTATGATTAGTAGATTCTTGCGAAACTGGATTATAAAATTACTTGGACCTGAATAAAAGGATATGGAGCAAGATTCCTAAAATACATAAACAGCCAACAGTAGAGATGCTTCATCACCTAAATATGTTGGTGGCTTCTACCACAAAAAGTATTGGTCAAAGTGTGCAACTCACACATGTTAATCAGAAATATGCAATAATGTCACATCAAGCAAGATGAAGACATAAGTATCTGAAATAAATTTTCAATCAGATGATTCTTGTTACTACCATCAACTATATAAATGATGATGCAAGTATCAGATATTGGAGTACCTGTCCAGGATCATCGGTAAGGGCATCCAATATGTTCTCAGCATCATCAGTGGAAGCTGCAATATGCAGTGGAGTGATGCCTGAGGGGCCAAGCATGTCAGGTCTAAACAAGAATCGATCTGGATCCGTATCCTTTGAAGTTCTGTTGGGTACATATCTCAAAAGAAGCTCAACCAAGGCCTTGGATTTCATTTGTACAGCACTGTGAAGCAAATTTTCAGCCAAGGCAAGCTCCATGGGTGATTGCCTGCCTGCATCTACCGTTCCACTAAATAAAATATCAAGAAGTTTTTTCACAACTGCAGACCACTCCCTATTCATAGCGAATGACATAAGCCACCTGAACCGTGTCAGGGTAAAGATACTTGGTGAAAATTTAGATTCTCGAGAAATAGATATCATATGATTCCTCCGGAGAAGCCACCCAAATTCATTTATAAAGTCCAGAGCTTGATTTCTGGCAATTTCTGCATTTGTTCTTTCATGAAATTGGTCATCACATGAAGCTACATCTATCGCATTCTCCAGCATACGGATCTCAGAGCATACATCTTCCTCCGCGATTATGAAGGGGAGGAACCCATTACTAAGGCCACAGTCTTCAAACTATTAATCAAAACCAAGAATTCCATAATCAACAAAAGAGCAAAGTTAGACAAAGAAATAAACCAAAGATAATATCCAGATGACTATAACATGATGGAACCTCGATAAATCCTCTCCCCATGACATCAGGTAGCAAACAAGAAAAGCTAAGGCATTGAGACAACTCTTGCCCACCACTGCTATTTGCCGCTTCAACTAAACTTTGTGATGTCTCCTGGACCAAGTATTTCCCATCAAACGAACATAGTAACCTGAAAAAAAAATCACAAATATAATTTACACAATTATAAGAAGTGTTGAAACTTGAAAGTATATGTTCTTTGCGTAGCCAGTCGAAAAACTTGCAAAAATAAGATCAAATCATAGCAAGAAGCTGAAAACAAAAAAGGAAAAGAAGACGAATACCTAGATGTTGGTTGAGAAAGATTAAAGCCCTTCACAGTAAACTTGACCTTTGTAGAATGAGAAACAGCAATAGGTGTGACAGACAAAATCTTACAGTGGTTGGGATGTTTGATATGTAAAGGTATGTCTAGCACAACCTGACCTGCAGACGCATTAGGAAGAATGACAAGGAGCTATTTCAGAGGTCATTGTAAAACCAAGTGGTAAAACAATGGACTATTGAAAGATGCATCTTCTAAGAAGCCCAACATACCATCATAAATAAAAGCCGCACGATCTTGTACCATAGCAAAAATCCATCCTGTCGTCCAGAGATCGTCAGAGGAGTTATGCAAAAGCCTATTTAGGTTGGAGCTTAAATCATCGTAGAGCTGTGAGCATAGGTAGATCAGATCAATAGAAAGAATGAATCAAGAGTTACCTGTGAACCACCAAACTGTTATGTCACGGAAATTTACCTGTACCCAAGCAGACTCAGCTTGGCAAAGGTATATTGTCAGAATTATACAGCCTGGCCTAATGTAGCTCTCTATATCTGTTGGACTATTGGATAACCAGTCAAGAATCTGTAGTTCAGCATTAAACAACAAATTAGGTGGGAAAAGAATGGAGGTTCTATCCTTAAAAAGAATTATAAACATAAATAGGAAGTTACCTGTGTTCTCAAAATGAGAGGAAGATCGGTAGGGTCTTTGCCGAAGAGTTTGAAAATGATCCTATCAGTTCGACACTGATATAATAAAAGATCAAAAATATGTCAGTACCAAACAAAACATAGGTTGAAACTTTTTAAGGATTGCATATTAAAAGAATGAAGCATATCATTAAGATTTAGCAACTTTAACAACTCCCACTAAAAGGTTTAATTTTAAATTTAAGCAAAGCTAGATTTTGTCGACACATTTTTCACACGAAGGAGGGCATGCATAACTTCTCTTGCAGAAATTATAATTGAGAGGAATATCAAGAATTTTTTCATAAGAAAATACTAAGCGGTAAATTTTCATAAGAACCTGGATTCAAAGACAATATGACCAAGATCATCATATTCATTGACAATTTACACCGACAAATTGAAAAACTGAATCCAATATATGATTTTGCTTGCACTGCAAAGGGTTATAAAACGTTACCTAAAATATAAAACATATTAGATCACACCTAACGGTAAATTTGAGTCACAAACCCAACAAAAAAAATTCTCTTTGAGTCTATCAAACTTAGATCATCAAATACCGGAATCATTGATTTTCCCCAAATTATGATTTTCCTAAATTATAATGGTGGACGTATCCCAGTAAATGTTGATATGTCCCTAAATTATAATGTCACATACGTATATTGATGATAACTTTTGTTACTGTCTCTTATTCTTATTTTGATTAACTTGTCTTGTTAATTGTCTGTGTAACAAATCAATGTATAACAAGAGTAAAGTAAATTATGTGGACATATGTTAAAATTTTATTAAAAGAAACCAAGAGTGCTATGTGGAATTAAACTACTTGTATTATAAGCTATAGAAAGTTTAAAGCTACCACATGCAAATATTCTTTTATAAATCATTGTTTGGATATTTACATTTAGATGATTTTTAAAAATGACGTATTGCCATGTCCGTGTCTCGTGTCCGTGCTTCTTATCTAGACTGACTTCCCAAAACAGCAAGCAAAAACTTTAGTTTTTCCCCTTATATTAGAACTTCTTTGGGCTCACAAAAGCATTGCTTGATTGTAAATTCAACTTTACATAAACTAGTAAACAACATCATTGTGTAATTACTGAGGTAAAACCAGTGTAAATGCAAAGCAAACAAAATGATATACCCGAGCATCTTCATGGGAACTAGACTGTGATTGGTTGGATGTCGAATCTGAATTGCCAATACTCTGAGGTGGACTTGAGTGATGAGAATCCTGCACTAAACATGAAGGGCAATTAGGAGAACTCATCTCAGTACACAAGGGAGTTGCTGGCTTCTCTCTTCCTTCTTCACAATCTTGTGTCTCGCTATAGGTATTGTTCAAATCAAAGTCCTTAATTCTGACTCCATCAATGACTGGTTCTGGAACAGCATCGAATTTTATTAGCATCGATGGGTAAGAAAGCAGAATGTGAAGAATGAACTTCAGGCACAGCTTCACCTGCAGAAACTATCATTCCATTTGAGGGTATGTCAATTGTACTATGATCAGTTTGCCTACCACAAGTACCGGGGTTGCAATTTATTTTATCTGTCAAACATAAGGGACCGCCAGATACTTGCTCGGGAACACCATTTGGAACAGACGTAATAACAGCTTCTGAGGATGTTCCAGCAGCCGTTACAAACTTTTGTGGATCCTGAGATGCCTGTAGGAGTTGAGAAAGGTTACTGGGATCAAAGGACTTAGCAAGGCTGGCAAGGTTCCTTAGAAAATGAGTCAAGAGCTCCTGGTCTTGTGGTGGCTCAGAGTTATCAGCTGCAAAATTACAACGCAAAAATTCAATGGAAAAATGGAAGTATGCAGCAATTGTGTTTCTACATAACACAGCGGACAAAGAACCTATGTTCTAAAAAGCAGCTGCACTATGTGCGCAGTTACTGAATATTGCAAAATCAACATGTAGTCAATCTGACCAAAACATTCAAAACCATATTCAATTAAGTACACAAAGAAAAAAAATGCAGTCAAGTCTAAATTTTTAAAAAGTATGTTCTACAGCCAAATCAAAAATTTGTGCAGTAACACTTATACTCGAACCTGTTATTGGAATAATCTATAAGAAACAATAGAATGTCTAGGTAATGAATGATCATGTTGTCATGCGGATGCCATGCATCATAGTACTAAAAAAATAGTTACAGCTAAATAGTATTAATAAGGTGGAAGTATAACCCATGTCTGCAGCAAGCCAAAATTTCATGGTTATGCGGACCACATAATATGCAAGAAATAGATTTCATTTTCCTACAGAACAACCATGCATTGAGGCTGCAATAGCCTTATAGGCATATCAAGGTTTTAAGATATTAGTATTGATAACTGTACTGGAATTGTCGGACCAATATCTACCGACTGGCACAATTTAGTATAATTCATTATAAATATAAAAGATACTAAAAATTGTTTCATACGTTAGTATCTAGCAATGTGATTGGTATACCAGTATTTGAAACCATGCATATATGCAGCTGCATATAGGACAGCATAAATCACATTTTAGGACACAGAGAACAACACAATACCCAAGGCACATGGACATTGATCAGAAACACTAAAAAGCCTTACCATCCTCCCTTTTGTGCCACATTAACACTCGCTTGCACTCTGCAGTTCAATAGGCATGCAGAGTCATCAAATATCAAGGCAGACTAAGTAGCCAAACATCTATAGAATCCTTGTGTAAGGCACCAGACAAGGTTCCCCACTAAACAGATCAAAGCAAAACTCACTAGTTCTCACTGAATTTTCAAAAAAGTCGGAGGAGTGACAAATACTTAAAACCAAGGTTCGTCGTACCACAGCATACCACTCGGTGCAAGCGGCACATACCGGTCCAATAGGGGACCGGTACGGGCAGTACATCAGTACACTCCCATAACAGTATGTCAGTACAACTCGGTTTTACTGTACCGACAATTGATCGGTACACTGTTATGGACCGGTAAAGCAAACCATGCTTCAAACTACATCTATAGTTATCATAAACTTCTATATATTACTCACTCCTTTAGTAACCACTGGACCTACTAAAACATGCTCTTGATGAATTTCTGCCCTATGTGAGAAAATCATCCACTATTATAAAGTAAGATAATTCTCCCCCTAAAATCAGTCCTTTTTTTTTTCATTTGTTCTTTACAAGAAAAATCCCCAGACAGATGGAACATAGGAGGAATGCTTACACATGTCAATATTGTCAGTCAGTACTCCACATATTCAACTTAGGTAGTATCAATGGAGAACATGAGAAATCATGGGGCATATGTGGTACATAATGTGATGCACAAATGACATAGTTTCAGTAGGTCATCAGCGCACAACAAAGGGTCCCTGTTCTATTCTGTGTTGGCGGGTGGAAGGAACAGTACATAAAAAACTTAATTCTAGGGCGAAACATTGATATAGCAAACTTCAAAAACAAGGTCTAGTTATGTGATAAACTAATCAATTACCTGACTTGTCTTCCTAGGACCAAATAAATAGCATTCCCATTAGAAAGATTTTGATTACTAAAGATACTGATTTTACCTTATTGATAGTCCTGTTCACCAAAAAGAGTACAGATAATGCTAACCAAAGGATCATAAAGGATATCACAAAAATAATACATGCCCTAAAAAAGGTTTAACTCAAGAAAGTCAAATAAGAAAATTGCAAGTTAAGCAATTAACTAGAGATTAAAGAACCAAGTAGAATAACAGGCGATTGCAACAATTACATTGCAAATTGGATAGGACCCTGAGTAAACTCATCAATAAGTAACCGCTAGCCTGTTCATTAATAGAAGAATTCCCATTCACAATGACATCAGGATGTGTTTTCCTCCTCCGTCTGTTGTGACCAGCCAAGCGTCGTCGACAACTTCTTTTCCCTTCATCAAACTCTTCAAGAAGATGAAATCTGGATATGTAATTATCAAGAGCTTAAAACAAAGGATGTGGAATATATAAAGTGAAAAGGTAAAATTTCTTTTTGCATGATATTCTAGAAGAACAAAACATATCCAAAATTGACCCGAAAAGTTTCACAAGCCAAACTTGAGATCAACTGCTATCCAGATCAAATACAAACTCCTTAGCATCACAAAATATGATGACAACATTCCCTAATCTTTTTGTTCAGTTAAACTGAGGTTTCAAATTATCAGCATAAGTGGTTACCCAACAATAAGTTTAACTTGTGATATGGACTGTATATCATTTGATTATGATTGTTTAGCCAATAAGTTCAAGTTGTACTAATGCTGTTAAGATGGATATAAAAGAGTGAAATAGGATCTAAAGTCTTATATCACCAAAAACAACTTGGTTCACTTCCAAGGGACTCTGCCAACCTGATATCCCCTTGACGTGCAATAGATGAAGAGGTAAAAGTAGCAGAAAAAGCAACAGAAACTTGACTTGGAACTGCAGCAATAGCAGTAAGTTCAAACTAAAGTTTAGCAATCAGAACTTCAGAAGTATAATATTAAGACCAAACTCAGTGACAAGAAAAAAGACAAAAAACGTTGTGAAGCGGGCCTAAATGGTTATTTTCATGCCATTATAGTATGAAACTCCCATTATATATTTTATGTCTGTTCTTTTCCCTTGAAATTCCCATGATGTGGTGCTATTGCGGTGTCAAAGTAACATTTGTAATGTTAATAATCAGACCAACATTTAGATCGGACCAAGCGAAATCAGTCACTTGACTTCTATTGCAAATTTGTTCTGCCTTATGCTCATCAAAACTTCTACAGTGACTTATAGCATCAGCTCTTGAATCAACAAGCTTGCACCAGAAATTTAATCATTAATGTCTTCATCTAGTTTAAGAACAACTTAACAAAAGAATTACAAGAAGACTCTGGGCAATCTGTTATGTGCAAATATAATAGAAAATGGAATGCAGTCTAAGCATTTCCATGGAAAAGCAGATCATACATAATGGGTTCCAACTGAGTGAATGAGCTGAACTAACCTACTACATTGCTGGCAGAACCGCTGGATAGCATTTCTGACAACTGCTGAGCTGGCCTTCGCATGCATCTCACAGACCTTGTGTCGCCTATGGTAGTCCTTTGAATCACTGAGGTCAGCACCACAGCCTTCGACCTGGCAAGTTGGATGACTCGAACTGCCACCTTGTGGTTTGCTCTTATTTCCATTTGCAAGGTCAGCCTCCATGACTGGAAAAGCATGGCCCCCAAGCTTTAAACTAAGAGATCCACTTCCGCCATAAGACTCATCCTCTTCCACTACTATAATCCTCCTCCGCTTCTCTGCTTCACCTTTTCCATTCTCGACTATGCCTAAATCAAACCCTCCAGAAGAAGAAGATGAACAATTTGACAGCAATCGTTTTGCTGCATCTTGGAGCAGATGTTTGTTTCGACAGTCTGCAGGAATTTCATTCAATTGGCTCGCAACAAAGAGCTCACCATCCCACCTCCAGTCATTCAAGTCCCACTCGAAACTCTTCTTCCCAATACCATTCAGATTAGACGTCCCAGCAGCAAAAAACTGATGGCTCTCACTCCCAACCCTGGCCTCCATCAAGGCAAAAGCTTAAAAGCGATTTAAAAGACTGAAATTTGAAGATAAGTTCTAGAGTTACTGCTAGTGTATTCCACGACACTCGGACCCCAGGAACGGAGAACAGAGTGGCCAATGATATTACTAAATTGCCTCACAGCTAACCCAGAAATCTAAAAAAATGACACCCACACACCCGCGGATCCAAACAAGCGAAACCCACATACCAGTCACAAAAGCCCCAAGCAAAGGAACTCGAAGATTACCCAAATGAACAGTAACTTTCAACGGAGAAACCCTGGTTCATTGATTCCGAGAAACAAATCTCACCGAGCTTATAACCACAATAGCTCCGGACCAGTCGGCAAGAAGCCTCAACAACTCCAATCACTACTGAAGCTAACCCTGCACCGGTGCCGCGTGTGGGAATTCAGATGCAGCGAGAAGTACCAAAATTAGACATATCTCTGGAACAGCAGCACCAGAAAACCCACTAAATTCCACAATATGTGCTAGGTATATATCCGCTTCCACTCCGAAGCTCGCCAATTTTGAAGAAAGGAGAGAGAAAAATCGAGACAACTGGAGCGATATATTAGGGCTAATTTCGAGAAAGAGAACCTTCCAATCGGAGCAATCATAGGTCGATCCCAGGAACCCCCTTCATCTGGATCGAGGTGCCGCCAAATTGACCGATCGAAAGAGAAAACGAGTCCCAAAACGCCGCCGACGAACGACTCCAACAAGATCAACGCGCACGGCGAAGAAGAAGGGGAAAAGGGGAAAAAGGTCCGAAGAAGAGTCTTCGCACTCGGTTCCGCTCTTTCCCTACCCAACTCGCACCCTACCGTGAAGCGTGGGACCCACTTTTTTCTTCGGCAGTATGAAACAGGTGGTCGAAATATGAGTGACAGCTAGATGGTCCTTCTTTTATGACGTCATACTTTCTTTTGTTTATTTCGTTTCACTGGTCTCTTGCCTACTACCCGCGGTTCACCGAGCGCCCTCTCTGTCGACCTCACCGTCTCGCGGGCCCCACCTGTCTACACTGTGGTGCGGTTGTGGTGTGCGCGTGTGTTCGTGTAGAGACGTCACTTTAGGCAAGTGGGAGACGGCATCTCGCACCACCACCAAGGTGCGGGCCACGCGCTGCACGTTGTTTCATGCGCATCGTACGCGCAGGATTTTTACAGCTGGCGCGACGCCCACCGTCCGATACTGGATTCGATGATATCTCGTCCGTACGTGGGTGTTGAGTAGAAAGTGGGAAGCTTCCACTGTCCTACAAGAGGTCCGGTCGCATCTGGACCGTGCGTTGGTCCGATCCTCTGATTGCACGAAGCGTAAAGCGAGGGTAATACAAAGACGTTAATTAGAGCGGTGGGATATTAAGATATATTGATATGGTCACATCATGCGACGCACCTAATCAGCAGTTTGATGATGCATATCGATATCCCTTCCTCTTAATTTGAGGGTCTGAATTTTCACTATATCACCTTAGTAATCCATTTCCATCGCGATGTGATACATATAATATATTAATATAATATAATTATTTTAATAATAGCATCAAAATTTTGAAAATAACAAAATAATATAATACTGTACTGAAACTATTCCTGTATTGTTCTCTAATCACTGGAATATATTCTTAAAGACGAAAATAATGTTGTTATATGAGACATATTTAATCCTAAATTACAATTATGAAGGAACATATAAAATCACTTTGCTAAAGGTAGGAAAGACTTTGATAAACCCATAAAATATGTATGTTATATAAAGTCATACGTGGTTAAGTTTCCAAGGATTGAAAGCAAAATTAGATTTTACTGAAGCTTAAGTCGTTAGAAAAGGATCCAATATATGGTAAATTTTGATATCATGAAATGTGCTGACTCCAAATTGAAGAACATCATCGGCTCATTTCTTCTCCATGGGTCTCATATCTGATTCCATTTGGAGTGAAACATATGAGAACTGATGTTTTCAGAAGCTAAGTATTAGCATACAACAAAGTTATTCATCCAAGTTCATATAAATTTGACATGACTTCCACCCCAATTTTTGTTGTGAATCTTCATCACAAATGTAGTTGTATGCAAGTCATTACCTTCCAATATCTGCTACTAAATCCTGACCAAGCTTCTCCATGGTATATTTAAACTATTCTAATCCTCCTAGATCATGCATAAATCTATAATTTTCACAAATCAATTTACAACTTGAAGTTCCACTGTTGGCACATAAACTAATATGCAGGTCCAGCATAAATCCTAATTCAGAATCCAATATCCAACCTCACATTGGACAGTTAGCAAGAAGAGACCTGGGTGTGGATCCAGTAACTAGTCAAGATCAGAGATCTTTTGGATCCATGTCAGATAAGAATTGTATAAAATACAACCCCATAACATGCACATTGTGTACCATGCAAAATGTATCAGCATACCAAACTTTACATAAACCAAATGTAGAGTATACTTACCACTGCAAAACCAGACCTGCACAACATTTGGCCAAAGAGAGCTACACCACAAAAGCACTGAACTTTCAGATGAAATTGCTTCGAATTGCACATTCATTGAATAGAGAGGGTATCATCAGTATTGGGAACATAGCGAGTTCATCAAGATTGTTCATTATTTTGCATTGAGAAAACCTTTCAGGAAATTATGTACTTTTTCTTGGCCTGAAAAGAGTTCTAGTACATCTGAAACTTTTCCTTGGTCTTCTCGAATACTTGTTCAGCGATGATGGCTCCATTGCCGTCGGCCCTTTTGATCTCCAGATGAGCCTTCTGATAGAACCCAGTACCTCTTAGAGCATCGGCAATGAAGTCATCAAATCCAATAGCTATGGCGGCCTCCGCCTTTGCTCCATACACCAGCCTCTGCATTCATCAGTGAAGCAAAACCAGATGAGTAAAATCTCGTAGGATCAAGAGGTCAGAAGAAACAAAAAGATATAATCGCAACCTTGAGTCGGGAAAGATGAATCGCTCCAAAGCACATTGGACAAGGCTCACAGGAGGCATATATCTCACAATCAGAAAGTTCAATTTTCCCCAGCTTTTTGCAAGCCTGAAATGACAAAAAGATAATATGACACAAAGTGATCCATGTAAAACTAGCTTCTTTTGAAGTTTGTTCCTGATACAGTCATGGTTCAAACCTAGATTATAAGGCAAGATTGCTTCCTGTGTGTCTCAATGAGTTACCATTAACTTTTTTTTAACATAATTTTACCCTTCATTCAATAATTTACATGATATGTGTCTAAGATGCTTACATTAAAACCTGAACTATTTAACCTCTAATATGTAGACCAATAACTACATAATGTGTCTTAGATGCTTCCATTAAAATCTGAATTACTTAACCTCTAATATGTACACCATCAACTACTTTAAAACACAAGTTCTGAAGTATTGAAATGGGAATTTTTCATATATCAAGCAACCGAAGGAAACTCTTCAAAGGACATGGAGAACTCAAAAATGAGGAGTTCAGAACAAGATAGGCTTTATTCCTCGAAACGTCTTGGGTTCTCTATCCAAAAGCCTAAGTGTATTTGTCTGTAGCAACACTCTCCATGACATTACGTTAAGTTCTCGCTTCTCTCTTGAACTTGGAAGTGAAGAGGGTCATCTCATTTCCTCGATTGAACTTTAGCCGCCTGGTCACCTACCTAGAGACGTTGTACGAGTTCATCAGCACCTCCTCCAGCATGCCTTCGGCATGCCACGGAGAGCCGATACCTTCCCCACGAAGTGGCTGACAATGGCATTGTCGTTGGTCTTGATGGACTGTGATTCAAAGCTTTCGCGCACCTGAATTGTTATCGTAACATATGTGGTCGTTATGGTTAATGTGTTCTGTACCGATATGAGTGCAGGTGTGGGAGGGAATTACAAGGTGGAGGAAAAGATGAGCTCCTTCCTAATGGTTTTTGGCTGGTCATAAGGATTCACACTCGGTACAATGGAGACAATAGCAGTTGAGACCCTAACTGCTGGTCACGAGGATTCGCACTTGGTAAGATTGAGAGTTGAAGGTGGTCTGCATGTAACATAAAATGTAGACTTCTGTAATGGGAATGGACATGTGAGCTTGGCTGCTTGTTATTCCTCCCCTGCTATGGGTTGGCTTAAGCCTGAAACATCCTGTCAACACCGTAAACAGTCTCTTCTCCCTCTCCCATCTTGCTTCCTAAAGATTTGATCGGGTCAAATATGCTCAACATCATTACCGTCTTTTTGTTCTAAATTCGAAACTAGTCAATTAGGTTGAGCTAATCTGTGCTGGTGTACTTTCTAATATCAGAGCATGTATCACCTACAATGGTGTAGTTGAGTAGAACTGATGCAAGTATTTCGGACATGCTTTAACTTAAAAAGCAACGTCTGAGTAGAACTGATGCAAGCAACTAGTATCTCAAAGCATCCGTCTTAGGTCAACAACACCATTGTAGGTGATACATGCTCTGATGTCAGAAAGTACACCATCACATATTAGCTCAACCTAATCGACTAGTATTGAATTTGGAACAGACACAGTAATGATGTTGAGCGTATCATGGGTAACATAACAAAGATTTTTACAGAAGGTAAAAGGAGAAAGAAAATGAAGGTCACATAAATGGAATATATTCCCAGGTTATCTAATAATTTGATCTTTGGCATGTTGGACCTTGTTGGCAAGCTTTACAAAGGTCAAAATTTGGACCTTGACCATAGAAAGATCAATTAATTTAGATAAAATGTTTTATAAAGTTACAGTCTATACTTCTGAAATGGGACCATTTAGGTGCTCTCTGGACTATCAGATTCTGACAACGAAGTATAAGCAAAACACTCAGACTAGATCAGTTGTAGTTGAATATATTACTGCATTTTGCTGATTCAAGGATCATGTGAAGATAGATTATACAAGAATATGAACGACTAATGTACCTACCTCCCTTATTGCAGCCACCTCAGCATGAGCAGTAGGATCAGTGTTCTTCAGCACCATGTTATGACAACTAACAACTATCTCATCATTATGAACGACAACTGCACCAAATGGGCCTCCATCACCACATTCAACTCCATGGTATGCTTCTTCCACAGCTTTTGACAAAAATTTATGATCTCTATCTTGAACAGCTGCTTAAAATAATACAATGTTAAAAGAGACAAAAAATTGGAAAGGGAATAAAATAAATCTCAGATCAATAAAGAAAAAGAAAAGGAAAAGAAAAGAAAGATCATCCAACTAAGCATATCTTTCACTTCATACTATGTACCGTACAACCAAAAGAGGGGATTGTAAACAATTATTGCAAAAAAGTGACACAATTACCTTCATGATGGCCAGCAAAGGCAGAAGCCACAGAGATGGTCCCTTTTGACTCCACCACTGAGACCAAAATGCAAATGGCAATAAATAATAATAACAACAACAATAAGTGAGAATTCAATTTAATTACATCCTCAACGATTATCCAAATATGAAATATTTGTACAAAAGAATGATTGTGGAAGGGGCAGATAAAATTTCTAGCAATAAAGGCTTATCATCTGAAGATTATAAGCTTTTCTCTGTAAACACCAAAACATTAGAAATGATCCGGTTCCATGCTTTCCAGACAAAGTCATTGTTACCCAAGATTGTGCAAAGATAATGAATAAAAATCTAATAAAAGATAAAAAATTCCATGCTCTACTTTATATTTAACAGAGGAATGACAAGCATGTTGATAAGGTATAAAAGAAATTTGCTAACTACAGCATGCTATTCTCAAAATGAAGATAAAAAAAATAGAGTACTTTACATATCCTTGCAAAGTTTTGAAAAAGAACATATTTGCCATAACAAATTTTAATAGCATATATATAACTCTCCAAATATTATATTCTTCCCCGATGCCAATGTTCATTAGCATTCATCCAGAAAAAACAGGTTAACCACCTTCGATCGTGATTAACATTACTTGTTTGAGTTAAACAAGCATATAACAATATAAATTACCTAAAATATACCAACTATTTTTGGCATCATGATGATTTTTTTAAGGGTATAAATGCAAATTCAAGTTTCAACAAACAGCAAAGTTATTGTAGCTAAACGAGATGTAACTACGATAACGTATATGCAAATTTTAGGTTTTTAAGATGTACACTCATATAAACATATATACACATATATGCTAAACTAAAATTCAACGCGATAAATTCGAAAATCACTTGTTTCGAAGGGATAAATGTGGAATTTTACCAAAAAAAATTAACATCAAGTTTAGCAAGAGAAAGCAAAGGTGAACAGGTTGCAGAGTTTCTGCCGGATAAAAATTTAACGCATCAAAAACAACTCTAATTCCGGATAAAAATAAACATCCAACATATTTAACGTAAAATAAAAAACTCTAATTCTAGACACATATATCCCTTCAATTTCCTACAAAAGCACCCACCAAAAACAATAATTACGGATTCAATTTCCCCAAAAATTCACAATTGAAACCACGAACCCTGTAATTCAAGAACCATACTGATTTCTTATGAAGAAGATAATGAAACCAGCTAGATTAAATCATTGTGGTGTGAAGAAAGTAAAATTCTCCGGCGGCAGACAAGATGAAAACACAAACCAAGATTCCCAAAAAAAAAACAGCGAAAAATCTGTCATACAGCCAAATCAACGACAAAAAAGGGCGTCAGGTCGAAACCACACGCGGAAAATCTTGCTTTTTCCCATCAAAAGGCAGCAACTTTATGCGAAGATCCCGTGGCAGGATTCAGAAGACGGCAATTCGCAACAGATTGTGAAGCGGTACGAGCAAAGCCAACAGCAGAGACAACGAAGATTGCGATCCTACCTTGCGCCTCTTCCATGGGGACCGGAATCGATCGACGGGCCTCCCCTCGGCAAATCTTCTAAAGACGATGAGGAAACGTTGAGCTTGTGAGCCTGTATATAGAGAGAAGGCGAGAGATTGATGGATTGGCCAGAAAGGACTAAATGAAGAATCTACGAACCTACCAATGTATATCAACTCGTGATAGTCGTGGAGTCGAGGGCGAGGAAGAAAGCAGGGGAGACGACGGGAGGTAGAAAGCTGAGGACAGGCTTGACGAGGGCCAACGACCGCCCCCACCGACCGTGGCCGTGCCCTTTTTGTATTGTCTTTCTTGTCTTGGTGGTTCTTTTCGTTTCTTTTGGGGATACGGATTGAATCAAAATAGGTGGCCATCATTTTATTATATTATTATTTTTATTATTTTTATTTTTCCATATCATGTTGGGTAAATTCATCAAAAATTAAGCACGTTTTATTTATTTCGTTTCTAAAGTATTTTTATTTTTATTTTAAATATAAAATTAGTTAAACCTATATAACTTCATCTCCTTTGTGTCATATCTTAACACCATCGATTATTTAACGAGTGAAAGCCGATAACAATAATGCGAGTACAATGATAGAACCTCATGACGGAATGAAGATGATCATCGATGTGACGAAAGTCGAGGCTAATCTAATTTTTTCAAAAAATAAGAATGATTCAACTAGAAAAAATTAAAAATTAAAAATTATAAAAAATTATATTTTTTATATTAAATAAGTTCTTAAAAAGCTAATCTTCTCACTTTTTTTAATAAAAAACATATTTATTTTTTCCACCCTAATTCAAAACAAAACGTTATGTGGGAAATTCAAGAAAAACGATGGTGAAGATCTACTCCTAATTGTAGGTGGCCAATCTATCATTGTGGGTGCGACCTGTGGCTGTTCTGTTTATGACTCCACCCATGGCATTATAGAGAGAAGAGGATGACGGTGATCTCCACCACCGTCACCGCATCTTGGAGAACATAATAGATATATATATATATATATATAGAGAGAGAGAGAGAGAGAGAGAGAGAAAGGAGGTATGGTGATGCACACCGGAGAGACGAGAATGTGCCACGTGTGGCACTCGTTAACACGTGACGGTTTTGGTGCATGGAGATTTGACGTCGCAAAGGAGATGACGTGCGTGGGAAGCGGTTCTCAATTTGGACCCAACGTGGAGGAGGAAGAATGGGAACGGAGAGGGATTCCACTTTGACGTCCGACTGTTGGGAATCGATTGGTCTACTATTATCAATCTTAATCTTAATTTAAATATATAATTAATAATTTAATATATCAATTAATTCATTAAATCTAAATTATGATATTAAAGTCAACCTGTTTTTAGAATACGACAAGAAAACTCTGAATGTGAAAGACATGTCTATAGATAGAATACTTTTCAAGAAATAGACTAATTATCATTTTCCATGAGGAATGCAATGTGGAATGGTAAAAGCATTGACTTCCTCGTGTCGATTGGCTTCGACTGCAGACAACGTAGCTTTCCAAGGAGATGAACGAGGGAGGGGAGCAGTTCCATGTCTTCCTCGACCATCCAAGAATCTCCCCACCATGCCAAGTCAAACGAGATACATAGGTGAGGCGTATCAGCTGCCTCCTCGGTCTTCGCCATGCCATGCATGCTTTTGATGATAACGATATGGATGTGCGTCTCGAATGATCACATTGTTAGAGTCGGATGAGTTGATGTGGATGTGGACTTTGTCGTACTTCCTCGTATCCTTGGCGTGATGGAATGGATAGAATAATAAAAGATTGAGAGGATGAGAAAATGGACATGAAAATATTAATCGTAGAGGAAAGATTGGGTTTATAATTCGATTTTGATCTTCCATCCAACGCGAGAGATCCAATTTTTTATGATCCATCTGATGTGCTCCACGTTGAAGTTTCATAGCAAATCTCCTTCCAAACTTAGAGGGAGTGAGCTAAATTTACGTAGGAATTCAAAAGCTTATCCTCATCCTCCTTTGTCATATGGGGGAGATCATAACATATCCTTCAAATTCATACAATATAATGTACATGTTTTAATATGGTTGGCATAATTTGATTTGGCAGCACAGCAACATAAGATTAGTGTGAAAGGGGGACGATGGGTCTTATATAAATTATAGGTACCAAAGTATATTTAATTAAAGATAGACTTACATTAATGTTGATTGGAGTTGGTACAAGTTGACTCTAATAAAATATCATATTATTTCTCTAAATCAAAATATATAGAATTATCGATTCATGTCGCCTGAATTATCACATTCAGTAAGTGAGATCCTATCTTAAATTAATAATATTATAATTTCTCATATCATGCTTTAATATCATCTTTTTATTTTTATTGGTAAACTTGTTCTTATTATTTCTGTCCTTTGCCTACATAATTTTTTTTTATTATTCCCCATCAGTGATCAGCCTCTCCTTTCAACATAAATATGGCAAAAAAAATCTTTTGATCATCAATTATTTTCTCTATTAGCATCATTCGTTCTACCACCATGGATTAGATTCATCATTGAACCATGAAAGACTAAACTCCTTAAATTAATCCATTTCTAGTCCATTATATTATGATCATATTTAGTTATATAAGATATATTATAAATATAATTATATTTTAATTATAATTATTATTTCTTAGAAGATAATCAACTTATGATATGATAGATGACTCAGAAAGACTTTTATCCTTTATTATTGCAACCCAACTATAAGAGATCAATTTTCAATCTCTTTTGATTTCTGTTACATCACTTATAATGATCATCTAAGTAAATAGAAGATGAAGAGTCTAGTTTATCCTATAGATTATAGAGTGTGATCTGATAAAAAATTTTAGAATGACATCGAACGAGAACCTCTTAAACTCATAGAATGAATGAGAGAATGAGCTAAGTTTACATAAATTTTGACTTTACATATATATATCATGTCTTATGCTACTTTCCATGACCTATCTACCATCTCAATCAAAATATGCATCTATAAAATTTTGATTAATCACATAGGTCATCTTGACCCAAGTTATTTTTATATATTGACCTATGTTGACTTGGGTGGAGCAGCACGTTATTGTCTTCCCACCTCACTAGCTAAAAGTCCAATGTGAACCGTATAAAGGAGACAGAACATAGAGGATGTATTACATGCAATATGTTATGTTCTTTCCCATCTCTTTCGGCAAGACTTCTCTTTTTTGGGTCAATCAATCGAAAATAATAAAAAAATATTTTAATTCACTTCATTTACAAATTATTTTGATAGATCTGATCATAAATAATTCTAAATCAGATACATAGAAAAAACCGATAGCTATAAATTTCAAACTCTTAAATATTTTTAGTTAAAGATCAGAAGAGAGGGACACATGTCTTAGTGTATGGTGCAAATTAACATGAATGAAGAACATATATTACACACATATTATTTATTAAGTATAAATAATAGATACATAATTTAAACAATGATGACTGTGTACATTACAAGAATAAATAGGGTTAAAGTAATTATAATTAAGCCTATGGGATCAGAAACCCGACAGGGAATCTTGCTGTGATATGATGAGAAAGTTGGGAATATCTAACTTCGGCTTCAAACTTGAGAATCCTTCTATCCGTACAATATATCAATTTATATGTCTCAAGTGGTTGTCGCTATGCATTTGACTATCAGTTTAATCTTGCTTTGTGATTATATTTCTAATATGGAAAATGTTCTCATATGTTAGAATATTTATCATATCAGCACTAAATCTTAATAAAAATATTCTCCATCTAACATGTCTAATCATACTTAGCCGTAGACAATCAGAACCATAGCCAAGAATCGAATCCATATCGTTAGGAAGGCTAGGGGCTATGGTCAACGTTGCTTGATCACTTTTAATATCTTTAATTCAAAGCTAAAGGTGAAATTTTGATTTCATTCTGCTCATTTACGAAATGAAAAAAATTAGAAAAGATGGAACTCTCTAGAGGCAATATAAGTATATTATTATTTTTTTAATATTTAATAAATAAAAAATAATATACTTATATTAAGAGATGCACTTAAGCATTAAATAGATTTTGTTAAGAGATACTAGTTTAACGTTCATCATGTCAATGATAACAGATAAGATTTTCTCATGAAATCTCTCTATTATGAGGAAATCTCTCTATTCTGTTGGAGGAAATCCTCTCTCCTATTCTTTGGTTGAGGTGCACAATTCGGGTACTGTTTGGTCGAGATGCATGACTTGGGTATTATTTGGCTGAGGTGCACCACTCGAGTACTGATTAGCTAAGATTCATAACTCATAACTCAAGCACATGACTGTTCGAGATTCATTTGTGTGACTCGCACTTTTTTACCACTAGTGCTTTGATAGCAACATACTAGTTAGCTTGCTGGAACATCTCGGAAATGGTCGCTAGTGGCCTATCGACCAAAAGAACCTTGAAGGCTGCAAGCCCATCAGGAATACTTGCATAACCAAAGAGGGGTGAGCATTTGTAACCCCTCGGATCTCAGTAGTGAAGTGGGTGATGAAGAGAGAGAGAGAGAGAGAGAGAGAGGGATTCGTCCTCCTTTTGCCTTAGCTCGAGGAGCATGGTCGCTGATGGTTTAGGTCACGCATTAGTTAGGAAATGAAGCTCGAGTTCCCTTACAAGCTGATCAAAAGATGAGATCGAGGACAACCTCAATTGGTTGTACCACATCCAAGTTGGGCCACATAGGGTGATAAGAAATGCCCAACATATTATGGCATCGGAAGTGCCATATAGGGCCATCTAGGCTCGAAAAGTGACGATATGCTCCACCAGATCGGAGCCACCGTCATAGGTCTCTAACGTTAGGAGGCGAAAGTTGAAGAGGATAGGCTTGTCCCGAATTTCTTAGGCAAAGGGGACCCCAACCAAGGTACTTTTCCTTAACTCCTCCTTGGATTTATAGAATTCCCTCTGAACATTGTCCAGGCATTGATTCACCAATCGTAACTAAGTCCGGAACGAGTCGTCCGCTGAGTTGGACGATAGGGTGTTGGCTTCGAAGAAGGTTGAGGTAGCACATTTGGGCACGGGGACACTATGCTCTATTGTTGGCCTCGGGTGTCCAGACTGCTCCCCGGTTGGGGGATGGGCATCTGGAGCCAAAGCTGGTTGGTTGATCAGGGTGACATTGTGAGGTCCTTGGATGAGTGTAGGTTAGATCATGGGCGATGGCCATGGGGGGAGAACCATCTGTTGAGCTAGCAAGAGTATAAGGGATGCGATGGTTTGCATCATCCTAGCCAATGCTTTTACCTAGTGGGTAAGGTTGAGGAATGTTTTGGCGGAGATGACTAGCTACCCCGGAAGGCAAGAGCCTGGGATTGTTGAACAAATGGCAATAACGCCTCGGAGTTTGAGTCAAGGTGCTTCTATCCATATGTGGGAGAGTGGGGAGCTGCCTTCCGAGGTCAAAGGTGGAGATGGTGGCGGGTGCCTTCTTGCTAGGGTGTTCGTTGGGGTTGTTTAGTGGTGGACACTTTTGCAACATCGACCCCTTTTTCTAGCATCAAAAATATTAGAAAATCTTATATCATGGCCAATTGATCAGCATGACTTAGTTCAATCTTGAGTGTGCATAGTAGCCCACGTGGATGCTCAAATAGAGGTAGTTAATGTCAGGTTATGTACATGTTTTATCTCTAGAATTGTTGCTCTTCCTCCTTCACTGAATTGTTGCTTCTTAGTCATTGAATTCGTACATAAAGGCTGGGGTCGAGAGGAAAATTTCTTGACTCGACCCCATCAAAGTATAAGCTAGTGTTAAGTAGAGTTACGAGGAGTTGAGTGTTCAAACCCCCGATCAGGAGATTGACTTTTATATCTATGAATGAAGGTCGATCGTACATGGTTTGTCAATGGCCGCTGACTCCTCGGACGATCGACTCGTATTTTCTATGAGGACACCGATCGACTTGCACGAATCGATACTATGCGATGCCATTCCAAGCTTTCCAGAGTAGCTCTATACTATGCGATGTCATCTTGTACGACCTTGGATAGCATAGGAGTAGGTAATCGTTCTATCCGAGTCCAATGTATCACGTTGATGCAGTATACCATATCAATCCTGAGATTCCGTGTTGATACCAATATAACTATTGATTGTTATCATGAGGTGGTGCCAGAAGATGTGATATCAGAATTCTAAGCACTGTTCCCAATTGAGACGATCAGTTTCGCCCTCTCTTTCTGCTATTCAAACTGTACGAACCAATCTTCCAACCTGTATCACAGATCGACACCTATGCCACAGTCTCCCTCCGTCGCGTGGGAGGAACGTGTGTCCCGAGAATGCGATGATTCCGGGGAGAAGACACCCAAAGCTTTAAAGTCAAGACATGTACATGTTGTTGACTAGCGTTTAATGTTCCTCGGGTATTGTGTGCAGCTTGCGTGACACAAAGCTTCTGCACGAGGTTGTTTCAGCACATGAAACCCAGCTTCCTCGAAGCTGCAACGAAGGCTGAAACCACCAGCAAAACCTAGCCGAGAAGCGATGCATTCAGACTTCTTTTTGGTGCGTGTTTGATACTGTCTCCATTAAATAAGGTGGTGGTGGATCTGACCATTTCAGAAAGATGTGGTGATCCATGTGGCGGTGTGACGTCGGCTGTCGGATCGAACCTCCTCTCACGGATCTTGCCACCCTATCTTCAACTCCCCCGGACCTCCCTCCCTCTCTCTCTTCTCTCTCTCCTCTATATCTAAAGCACATAGGGAATCCAGATTCAGCGTTACGGAACACAACACTTGAAGAGGCTGCAATGGGTTCTTGGGTTCGCACCATCACTACCCCCTTCAGGAAAGCTTGCACCCTCATCAGCCCACCCAGAGACAAGAAGCCGCAAACAGGTGAAGTGCTGCTGCTTTGCTACCTTCGTCTTCTTCTCGCTTTCCTCTCACGGTGAAGTAGCATGAACGGTTGCAGCGGGACACGACCGGCACAGGACGGCACTACACGGCGAGGTGATGGCCTGCTCCTACCACGACGTGCAGGTGATGTGGTCCATCCTCGACAAGTCCAGCCCCGGAGAAGATCATGCCCGACGCTGAGGACCCCCCGAGTCTCTTATATGTTGTGCAGGTGTACATTCTGGTCGGCCAAACGATCGCTCTGGTGTTGGAGAACGAGAGTCGACTTGGCCTTTGTACTGTGAAGCCTTTTCCTTGGCTGGAATCCCCATGGCATTGTTAGGTGAAGCACGATGTGCAGTTCGTCCCCTTTGTACAAACACTTTGGCCATGCAATTGTGGGGAAGCTTGTAAATGGTCATCTACATCTCTCTCTGCATCAATGATCCAATCACCATCGTCCGTTGGTCAACATCACGGTTGCTTGAGATTCGAATTCGACGTTGTAGGGCACTTTAAGAGCTGTGCCGCAGCCTGATGAACGGCCACTATATATATATATATATATATATATATATATATATATATATATATATATATATATATATATATATATATATATATATATATATATATAATATAGGAAGGGGTATTTCATCATATTTGAATATAATTAAATAATTAGTTATTTGAACTCTAATTAGGAAATATATTTTTGTTTATACTTTTTTTTAATCTTAGGTAATAATTATCATGATTTAATATTTTCGTACAATTTTCTCTCATCTTGCTCCATAGGCCAATTGGCAAAATAAGCATTGCATTTGACACCTTAACTTTCTCCAAGGAAAAATAACATAAAATGAATAAATATATATAAAATGTCATTGATCATATGATAGCAACATAATTGAAAAATATAAATATTTTCTTAGTGTATGGTTCGAATAAGATTTGAATATACGACCCTTTCGCTCCGATATTATCTTATATTTTTGACTGTTGCATCTAAGAAAATAAGTCATTAAATATGACCTATATATAATGTTGTATTCTTATTAGTAGTTTTTTATCTTCCATCCAAATACATCACATGTACCAACTACACCTTTCTATCTATCTACATGCATCATTGCACAGAACATCTCTCTCTGTCATATATTTATAGTTTTCTAAAAAAAGAAAAATGCAGTGCTTCTCCAAAAAAAAAATACCAAATTCATTGCATATGCTTTCCCCCATTTTTGATACATGAAAGATCAGTCTGAAGGCAACTTCTGGACATGAGATAGATATTCTACATTGGTGAAAGCTTCTACATGGCACTCCTATGCTAGTGAGGATAAAGTAGTCGACAATGTGACATGAAATCTGCACCAGTGTTTGATGTGGCTTCTTTTCTTAGGAGGAGAAGGAAAAGATAATGTTCTACATATTTGTTTGGTGAAATATAAATAGCAAATAAGAGAGAAATATTTGAAATGTGTGTGTTTTCCTTTTTAATCAAAACTACAGATTGTATGTGTTTGTGTTTCTTGGAAAGAACTGAGTTCCACTTTGGCAATACAAGCTATATCTGAATCCTGACAAATTTGAGTGTTCTAACACCTTTTGCCTTTTCCAATGCTCTTCTTTCTCGGAAAGAATTGAGTTTGATTTTGGCAACATAAGCTATACCAAATATTGGTTCCCTCTAATCCAAATTCATTTCATTTTATACATAGAAAACATTGTCACCTTTTGTCATTAGATGATTTTTGTAGGTTGTTTGGCTTATTTCAACAAGCACAGAGGAAAGAAGAAAAACATAAATTTATGCAGTTATGAATAATTTCCCATTTCAAAAGTAAAAATATATATATAAATTTTCGTTTGAGCATCAAAATGATTTATTTATAAATTTTTAAGTGTGATTTTGCTAGAAAATATACTAATTTTGAATATTTCCCGATTGGTACTGCCATATCTGTTTTTTAAAATAGTGTTTTTATTTTTTTAAATATCAAAGTTATCCTTTAATGTTTTTTTTCATCTATTACCATATTTTTAGTTTATTATAGTGTTTTGACCATCATTAAAAAAAAACATTGTAAAACTTACTTGAAAGCACCATAAATTATTTAAGTAAACTATCAACATCAATCAAACTAATTATAAGCTTAAAAATATAATATTATAACGGTTTGTAAACAATGATAATCAAAGAAATATGATATAATATCGCATACAATGTTTTCAGTATATTAATAAAATACTATAAATGTTATTAAAAATATTATATACGAACTAAATAAAAACATTATAATTGATAAAAAAACAAAAAAGGACACAATTTTGATGAAATTTATAAAATATTTTAAAATTTAAAAATATTATTAAAATTTTTGATAACATATAAAATATAAAATATTTTCTAAGAAATTGAGTGATTTCTGATGTTACCTTATGTGTGAGCGTAAAAGAAGATTAAATCATTGACACGTGTCTGTGTTACAAAGCGATGTTTTTTATTAAGATAATGTCTCATAATGATGTAACTTTAGTCCGTAAGATTTACTTATGAAGATCGAATTATTGTCGTGTCTGAGTGCTACGAAACGACGCTTTTCGAGAGAGATCACATCTCATGAAGTAAACTTATGAGATCGCTCATATTATAATAATAAAGATAATAATGTACAAATATAGTAATTTTATATTTTTAATCATGATAAAAATGAAGAGACACAAGTCCACCCACATATGTATATGTATTGATTAGGGAGCTTTACCACCACCATGCAACACAAGGATGCATGGTGGAGAGTGCATGAGGAGCTAGAGAGCTTCCTACACCCCCTACCGTTGCCATCGTCATTCATTTCTCAATCCTGTCCTATATTTTCGTAATCTGATTATAATATCAATTCTCAATCTCTTTTAACCTATTACAATATTTATAGTGGTCATCTAAAGGACAAATAAAGAGGATAGTTTGAGTGTTCTAACACTCTTTGCCTTTTCCAATGCTCTTTCTTTCTCGGAAAGAATTGAGTTTGATTTTGGCAACATAAGCTATGCCAAATATTGGTTCAAAAACCTCTAAACCAAATTAATTTCATTTCCTACATAGAAAACATTGTCACCTTTTGTCATTAGATGATTTTTGTAGGTTGTTTGGCTTATTTCAACAAGCGCAGAGGAAAGAAGAAAACATAAATTTATACAGCTACGAATAATTTTCCATTTCAAAATTATATATATATATATATATATATATATACACATTTTCTCTTGCACATAAAAATTAATTATTTATAATTTTTTAAGGGTAATTTTATTAGAAAACATCCTCATCTTAATTTTTTTTTCAAATAGTATTTTTTAAATTATAAAATATCGAAATTACTACTTAATAATAATTTTTATCTATTATATTGTGTTGGTCTATTACCATATTTTTAGCTTGTTATAGTCTTTTAACCATCACAAAAAAAAACTGCAAAAAAACACTATAAATGATCTAAACATACTACTACCATCAATCAAACTAATTATAAACTTAAAATATGATATTATAATGATATATAGGTAATGATAATCAAACAAAAAATATGATATGACATCATTTACAATGTTTTCAATATATTAATAAAATAATACAAACATTATTAAAAAAATATTATATATGAACCAAATGAAAACACTATAATAGATAAAAACTAAAAATAAAATAGATAATTTTTTGAAAAAAACATTTTAAAAAAATTTAATTTAAAACATTATTTTTTTAAAAAAAATTAATAAACATATAAAATATAAAAAAAAATTTATAGAAAAATTGTTTAATTTATGACGTTACACGTAAAAGACAATCAAATCATTGACACAAGTCGATGTTACTAAGTGATGCTTTTCAGGATGATAGTGTCTCGTAAGATTTATTCGTGAAGATCGAATTATTGTTATGTATGAATGTTGAGAAACTATAATTTTTTTTAGGGAGATCACATGCCACTATGTAAACATGCGAGATAATAAAGTGATGTAGCTACACATAAATATAATAATTTTATTTTTATTCACGAGAAAGAAGAAAAGACACAAGTTCACACACAAATGATGTATATGTATTGACTAGCGAGCTTTACCACCAACATCCAACACAAGGATGGCACGGTGGAGAGTGCATGAAGAGCAAGAGAAGGCCCCATAGATCTTTGGGGAAGAAAGGAAGTGCGCAGACAAACTAGTGGACATAGGACAAAGGAGATTATTAGATCTTCGCCATGCAAGCTCATCTGAGATCTCAAGGGAACAACGAGTCCGGCCATGAGCTGATGGGATCCACGTACATCTGCCCCTCCTCCGACCACGGGCTCATTATGTCCATGAGCCAGTTCAGCCTCTGGCTTCCCTCCGCTGCATGGCCCTGGTTCACCGTGTTGATCCTCTCCATCGGCAGCGGCATCATCCCCGTGACAGTGGCCGCGGGAACCACTGGCATGGGTGGTGGCGGAGGGGCCATGGCCAGCCGCTTGAGGAGCTCCTCTCTCCTGTCGCTGACCTCCTTCAGCTTGGTCTCCACCGACCAGGCGAGGGCGGAGGCATCCTCCACGTCCAGGTCGTCGAAGCTGCGGCCATGGAACCCCTCCCACGTCAGCCATGTCATCTCGATCTCCCGGTTCTCGCGCTGCTGCCTGCGGAGCTGCTCCAGAAGCTTGGCGATCCGCTGGTGGAGGAAGGCCTCCTGGTTAACCATCTTCCGGCTGCGCTCGATCTCCGGCATGCTCTTGAATCGCGCCATCATCTGCACAGCCTCCTGGAGGGACGGCCACGCCACCGGCTGGTTTTCGTGCGGCGTGTACACCACCACGCACGCCTCCACGCCGCACAGGATGCTCAGCTCCCGCACCTTCTTTATCAGCCCCTTGCGCCGCTTCTTCAGGGTGGCGCGGCGGGTGGCGTCGTTGACGATCCATGCCAGCTTCACCTTGTTCCGGGCCATAGCAGGCAAGGACCGAGCTTCGTACACCCCCTTCCGTTGCCATCGTCATTCATTTATAGGGCAGCCGAACTCGAAGGGGTGTGAACGGGCTACCAACGGGATTCGAACGGGATCGGATATCCACCTCGGTCCACAATCACCATTACATAATACGATTGGAGAAACGTCATTGGTGCGTTGCCATCAGCCACGTCAATCGTTGTCAAGAGGTGAGTAAACGAACCGCGACTCCCTGTTCCGATGCCGGCACCCGATCCGCACCTCTCACCCGCGAGGTCCGCTCGGCTGCGCCCCCAACAACAGCAAACAGCTGCATCAGCGAGCACACGCCGGACAAGCGTCCAATCGAAAACGATATGGGAATCACCCATATCCACTGCACTTGTGACCGTCAATGGGGAATCCACGGGAAGGTACAGCTCAACACCCGTGCATGCATGTGGCGTGCCCTAACCCGCACATCCTCTCTCTCTCGCTCTCTCTCTGTATCTTTGCGTGTGTGCATGTACTGCAGCGGTGCCATAGCCGATCAAGATTGGAAGGGGGAAGTATTCTGATCAAGTTTGGAAAGGGGAAATATTTTGATGTTGCGGTTGGTTGATCTGATTTTGATCTCCCAACTGTTACGAAATATAACTGTTACGATATCATCTGTCACGAACTCTCGGAGATGAATAAGTAATTACATCAACTTCAGAAAATAAGCTACTTTCCTTTACCAATGCCAGGTTCGTCCGAGTCACTGCGCCACAGAAGTAGGCCCCATCAAGGTAGGGGAATGGGTCCAATACGGTTTTTGATTTAATAGGCTTCATGGAGAGAGCCCATTATTAGGCCCATGGACGGGATCTTTCGGTGGGTCCCATCAAAGCAGGGAAATGATAGCGAGGCTCAGTGTTAGGCCCAATAAGGCCCATGAACGGGTCGTTTTCATCGTTCCTCCCAAACCCTTCGATGGTCCTAAAACCCTCTTCTCGCTTCTCCTCTTGCTTCTGTCATCATCATCGTCGACATCATCTGATGCTTGTCGTAGGTATGTCTGAAGATCTTGATCCTACTCTCATCTTGATCTTACTCTCATCAAAGCAGGGAAATGATAGCGAGGCTCAGTATTGGGCGCAATAAGGCCCATGAATGGGTCCTTTTCATCCTTCCTCCCAAACCCTTCCATGGTCCTAAAACCCAAACCGGCGTCTTCTCGCTTCTCCTCTTGCTTCTGTCATCATCATCGTCAACATCATCTGATGCTTGTCGTAGGTATGTCTGAAGAACTTGATCTCACTCTCATCTTGGTTTCAGACATGTAGTATCCGGAACTGGGTCTCTGTGTTCTGCTTGGTGGGCTGCACTGATCGTTTGATACGCAGTTAGCTTTCGTGTGATTGAAATGATGAGATTATAGATTTTTTTAAACTACCATTTTTTCGTTCTTTTTTTTTCTTTTTTCTTATATGTTTATAATCGTTTAAGCAGCGTTCTTTGTATACTCATCATCGAGCTGTCCATAAGGGGGGAAAAGTAGACTTTTTTTTTTTTTTTGCAGAAACCTTGATTAGTTTTCCTTCACTGGTTGCTTTTACAAAGCCAAGATGGCACTTTTTCTTTTTCTTATATCTCATTGCAATCATCTACATGATCATTTTGGTGCCCGGTTATCTTTCCAGAGATATTAACCGAAAAAAGGTTCTAATCTGGTTAGGGTAGTTCAATGGACTAGCCTGCCATGAGCAATGCTTTCATAGTTTTATATAGTCTATTTCCTTTAACCTTCTTAAAATTTCAGAAGAGCAGACTTGCCGAGGAGCAGAGTGTCAGGCCCAACAAGTTAGAGAAAGTAGAAGTTTTATGTGAATGACTCTAATCAAGGGCAGGGCAAAAGAGCTTTGTGGTAAAAATTTGTGGCTAAGGCAAAAAATGTCAATTTTGATCGATTGGAATCTAATGCTTCACATGGTAAATCTAGGATATTCTACTTGAATTCTTGAACACAAAGTTTTTGCTGTCTTTCATTTTAGGTGACGGAGAATTTTCATCCTCATCTGATAGGTCCTTAACGAATGCCCAGCAAAAAATTAATAAGAATTCACTCTAGTCCTATGCATATAATTCCTATGCATATAATTTTTGACGATGATATTGTGGGTGAAAATTGATTGGCTGAATTTGCAGCGCAAGTTTCATGTAGACTAAGTCAACTATTGAGCTTGTATACATTTAGCATCCCCCAATGTGAATCTCTAACTACATGTATATACTTGAGGTTGTCCTGAGCAAAACTATCTCCTATTCCTGTCACTTTGGATCTGGACTTATTGATTGCTCATTCAAATCATAATTTAGTGCTCATCTTTGTATGAAAAAAATTACGAGTTCAGAGGACTCTCCTTTGACATATGTGGAACAAAGATAGAGATACAGATACTGGCATGACATGATAGAAATATGCTGATGTGTTAAGTCCTTAATTTAGGCTGTCATACGTCAGAAATTTGGCAAGAGATCTTTTTACATATATGGTACCATATATGTCAAATTTTGAAATTTATTTATGATGTTAACATAGACAGTTATACATCACAATGAATAACTAGCATCCTAATCCAATCACAAAAAAAAAAAGAGAAAATTATTCTAGGTCATGGTTAAAAATATTGGAATTCATATCCATACTGATCCCAGCTTGGATCGGCACATACTGTTACCACTTGGTACAACACAATTATAAAATCGAATCTATGTTATGTTGATACACTATTGTTAAGAAGTAATATATGAAGCTAATTTTTTTTAAAATTTTCATTAATTAATATCTAATGCGTAAGAGCAACAGATAGACAATCTATATAATCATATATTAATTTCTATATATATACATTTGTGTATACATATTAAATCATCAATCAAACAGAAGTTCTCCCAAGAAGTGTCCATAAAAAGAATCCTGCAACTATTTAATTGCTGTATACATTCTTGATGTTAATATTGAACTGTCCATGTTCATGGTTGGTCATCCATACCACTTGCTGATGTGATGATACTTGAACCTGAAAAGTAAAAGGTTGTTTGTAATCAGGTGTTATTCTACGTCCACGTAAAGTGATGCATGGTGATGTATATAGGATGCATAATTTCCTCTTGTCCTACTGTTATACCATGTGATGGTTACAGCAATAACAAGTGTATACGCTGCATATGGACCACAAAAAGTGATTTCTTTCAGAACAATGTATCTGTTCATTTTTTCCTCATAGGAAGGTTGTTGGAAGATAAGCTCTTCCAGTGATCACCATATGTGACTGGTAAAGGATGCTATGACAGTGATGCAGTGACACATTTTTACGCTTTCTCAATTGACCATCTCTATGATATTGTGTCCTCGCCATGTAATTAGAGTTCTTTGTAGACCTTAGATTTATGCGACTTTTACTAATCCTCTCTACAGTCATAATTATTTCTTAATGTTAAAATGGAGCAATAAATTTTTTCAGAATATGATATTTCAAGGAGTTCTTTCCTTTGAGAGTTGAGGGTATGTGAAATTTTATTGGAATCTAGTCCAGTCTTCCTCTTTTGTTCTTGTAGTGAAACAGGATTGATCAATCAAAATTTGTTTTTCTTTGAGATATGTTGAGTTTTAAATATGTGATCCATATTTAGCCTAATCCATTTATCTTCTTTATTTTAAAATCTTGATGACTTTGAACCTGAAAAATCGTGATCCTTCTAAGAAACACTAAACTCGATAAGTTCTACACTGAATCAACTCGTTATCTTTATTTTTAATGTCCTTGACATGTCTGAATTGACATGGGCAACAACCAAGCAACAATTGTTGATCGATTGATGTGAGTTTGATAATATGTTGAAGTTCTGTTTGATCCGCAAATTGGTCTCTCTTGGACTATATTTGTGCTGTCAAGCATCCTTCTGTGATGATGTTAGATGCTAACTTAAAATGTTGACATCAGAAAATTGTTCTCATCTGACAACACAATTTTCAAGGTGATGTGTTCAGGTATTTCATAAATGAATGTGAGAGGTTTTTGGAGAACTATTCTACTAACAATTCTCTCTAGAACATTGGATATCTTCAAGAACTTCGTTTTATAAGCAAACAAATCACTGAACTCATCACATGTTCATATTTAGGAACAGATCAGTAAATCAATGATCTCTTCTATTCTGCTAAACAATATTTGGCAGAAATCAATCACACCTAGGAATAGATCTTGCCTGTCTCCTCTATCATTTATTGATCATTGTTATCTCCTCTTGGGATCATTGAGTTGCAGTGAACTTGGCTACACTATCTTTGGGAAGGTAACAATTTGATATCAGAATTACATCTGCAACGATAACATGGTTTTGTGGCCTCAGATCTTCTATTGGCTGTTGGTGAGCACACCTCTTAAATTACATAAACAATTCACGATGTTTTATTGTCTTAATGGAATTCATGCATATGTTGGTGAAGCCATTAATTCATCGATCATTTTCAAAATGTTTCATTTAATGACAGGTACTGTTTGTTGCCTCGCTGCATTATATCATTCTTCAGCTTTTTGAAGACGTCAATTCAGAGAACAGTTCAAGATTGGTTGGTCCTACTAATGAGGTATCAGATTCAAAGAATTCCCCTTTTATTTAAAACAGTGGGGACAACGTTTTGTCAATCTAGTTATGTCTTGGACTTGTTACTTGTTTTTTCTCTCGTCCTCAACCAGCTCCTTTTTCTCCCTGGATTTCAACTACTTGGACGTGTGCCATAAATGTTTGTCCATTGTCAATATTAACTTTTGGGTTGTCTTCTTTCTCCAAAAACTTTTGTCTTGGTAGTGACAAGTGGTAGTGCTGACAATGCTTAGGGCCTACAGGCTCCATAATGGTGGAAGATTCAGCAATAGCCAGTGATGATTTAGGGGTCGGCAAAAATTTATGATCGGCACAACTTTTTGCCGACCCCTAAATCAGATCAATTCCTATTCCTATATGCAAAAAGTAAACTAGAGATCCCTTATTCCTTTAGAAGTTCCTGGTTATAAAGTTTGGCAACACTGTAATTTTAGCATGGTTTATTGTCATGCATAAATTTTTTTCGTTGATGCTATGATACATAGGTTAAAATCATAAACTGTAGTACTTATATGTTGATGAACAACTGTAGTTTCACTAGATTGGTAACATCACTCTTATAGAAGAGTGTTATAGCAAATTCAGTTAAGACTAAAAAAATGGAAGATTATGGACCATCTCGTAATTGCCTTAATAGGGCTTCATTGACTTCTTTCAGATGATAAATTCTTGTTTTCACTTCACCTTTATTCACCAGCATCTTTTAACTGCTGATATGTTTAATTTGAACTGTTTGTTTCCTCATCTTTATTTCCACTTGACCTAATATTTTGTACGATTCCATTAGATGACATTTGGGTGGAAACAAGTGAGACACGTCGTGGAAGAATTAACTTCTAACTACGGTGGCCAATCTTCCTTCTTCAAATTGTAGCACTTAAATGATGCATTGTTTGATGACAGGCTCCACTTTCATAACAAAGAGTGAGAACATGATTACTTGGGTGTTGTGGGGACGAAGTGGCATTCTCAATCCAACAAGGATCCTATAATTAGTGGATTCATCACTTTGAACTTTTTCTTTCTTCCTTATTCTTGCTAAGGTCAAATGCCATCATGTCTTGGGCCTCCCACACCTTCCTTTTCTGAACGAAAAGCTATAGCACTTTGCTCTCTGTGCCACTTAAGGACCCAACTAAAGTGTAGCCTGTGGATTAGTATGAATCGAAGAGTGGAAATCCTTTTGAGCTAGATGTCTATAAATGACCCACTGTGGTTCCTTCTTCATAGGAAGAAGGGGGAGTACGACAACTGAGTAACGGCCTAATTAAAATTGTTGCATGCCATGTTCCTGTCCATGCCTTGAGTAGGAGGGGAGGCATAACCCTAGAAACTGGAAGATAAGGTGCAGAGACATAACCCTAAGAATTGGAGAATTAGGTATCATCTATCTCTCTCTGCCAGTGCAGATGGATTGGACCCCAACAGCCCTTAAGTTAATATTGGCACCCGATGATCAAATTGTGCTAATAATGTAAAAAGAAAGAGAGGAGAGGAATACTACAAAACTTTTACATGTTTTGGCTCACATGCTTATGTTGACAAGCAAATTCAGATTGAAGTTTGCTGCATCAAATTTAAATATGGGGGCATGCTGGAGTACAAAGAGAACCCCTAACTTGAAAAAGGGCATGGAATCTCAAATCATGAAGACACCGGCATGGCAGGTATCTTATTATATTATGTTTTGGTGTGCATTCTTTGTTTAAAATTATAAGATTGTATGTATACAATATCCTTCATCAAACTTTGTGTTGGCAGGAACCTCACGCATCGTACCATTTATCTCTTATGCGGTCGAGTTGAATTGAAGAGACACCTAAACCAGTCCAAGACCTGTGAGCACTCTTCCTCGACTCATTTTGCAGTCTCTGAGAAACGTCCACCGGCGATGGGAGTCCCTTTTGGTGGTATTCCCCACAACACATACTTCTTGTAACGAGCATGTGGACCACCCCTTGACCTGGTTCATTGATTCAGGGATGCTCTTCTTCTTCTTCTTCCTCCTCCTCCTCCTCCTCCTCAAGGACGAGATAAGGTTTGGGGCTCACGGCAATCTGTGATGGTCACAACAGGACTACAATAGCTTTGCCTCATTGCTCCACACCAGTAGACGCCAAGATGCTACCTCACTATCATCCAGCTGTAGCCAAGCAGACGTCTCATGACCATCCATATCCAATGATCCTTTTGCACAGTAAATTCAATCACCAGCAGTGCTACGGAATCTTCTTCTTCTTCTTCTTCCTCTTCTTAATCATAACTAAATGTGTCTCCCTGATGTTTTCTAAAAGAAAACACATCTAATAATTGATGGTTGCAAAAGATAAGACTAGATGCTTCTTGTACAGTTGACAATTAGGACATCATGTGGCTTGCAGTGGTGAGGTGAGGCCCTGTGGATTACAATATTTTGTGAAACACAAGTGTATTATGTTTAGCATTTCTTTCGGAAATGTCTGTCCTTTTCCTCATCCCATCTGTGCTTGGAAACATCAGTAAAGACAAGGGCGGCTTCATAATGCTTGAGAGGGGGTCTCAGTTTTCTATTTGGTGCCATCAAGTGGAGGTGGAGGCATAGAGATGGAGATGCCATTCCAGTGCTTGCTTGTCCCCATCCCATGCACACAATGCATGGAAGATTTTGCTTATACATGCCGGCTTTTGTTTACTTTGGCGTTGGTCAAAACCTCATGGATTTGCTATAACATGCGGTGCGAGTTGTGCCACGACGAGAGTCTGTGTCACGATGTCATGCATATCTTTGGAGTGTGAAAGCAAGACTCGAGAGCCATCCTTTATTAAATAAATAATTAAATATCAAATTTGGTATTTAGTGTATCCATAAGAAGGAGAGGATCCAAAGAAAATATATCATAAATGTCAGTCTTTATGGACGGACAAGTGTTATTTGGCTAGATTGTTATGACACTTCATATTTTATTAAGTTTGTAATATTAAGTGTTTTTTTATGTAAAATTTGTGATGGTGAATAGTTTAGTCATAGTTTGTATTATCGGTCCGTACTCGATCATCAACTGATGGTATGATATGTACATAACTATATCGTGCGTATATCACATGATACACTGAGCTGTACTAATCTGTGTTGATTCTTTGTCGAACCGATACATATCATTTATACAATCGAATAATATGCTTCGATACATCAAATCTTTAGTTTAGCATCTATAATTTAAATTTTTATAGGTTGAGCATTGTTACCACAATCGAATCCCTCGTTTAGAACTCAAGTGTTGTTAATTTAATTTTGGTCGTCAATTTGATGGGGTGGAGTTCTTAGAGTTAGATAGTTTTCTTGGATTTGATTACGTTTGAATTAATCATATCTAAAGGGTCATGCCCTCATTGCGTTTACTCTGTAACTATAGTTCCTAATGCTCATTTATATTTGCAATATCAATTATCTCATAGTTTATCCATGTAAAAGTATATTGTCTATTTTGTTTTGTGATCTTGATAGTTATAATTTACATTAAAAAAACTAGTTACAAGGTGCTTTGAATGTTTGGTTTTGGAGGACGAATTAGACACAAGCACATGTCTTGCCTCGTTAGGATGAGTCAGATGTTATGCAAAAGATATTTTTGTTCTAGGCAGATAAATCTCACAAAAGATATTGTTAGACATTTTGGATGTTTTTGTCTTAGAGAATGCATTATGTGCAAGAGACACTTCACCCGATTAAGATACATTGGGTACTTCAAATGCCTCTCTTGGCCAGAAGTATCACATGTATAAGACACTTCACTTAGTTAAGCTCCATTGAATGCTTTGAATGTTTTCATCCTAAGCGAACACATTACCTAGGCTAAAAATACTCGAAGCGTTCGATATAACTTAACGAGTTGAGTTATCTCATAAGCGATGCATCAATACAAGACAAAGGTATCTAAACTATCGGAAGGGCCTTAACATAATAATGTATCTCATCTTAAGACAAAAAAATCCAAAACATCCAACGTAAACATCTTCTTATCTCTAATGCATAGGAGGCATCCCTTAACTATATTTTGATGTGAGAAACAGTTATCAAGATTCAAAAATGGAAAACATTAGACTCATATAAATACACTTCTTCCCCAACCAACCAACTTTATAACATAAATTAATCATGATTTGAATCATATAAATACATAAGAAAAAGCCTTCCTTCATATCAAGACCAATAAGATCATTTGGAATGATTATTTTTGTTGGTGTAAACAACTTCTTAGCCGTGGCCTCGGGGCCGACGCGGCTCGATTCGGGTCCGGATGATGGGTCGTCGTTTCCTTCAGGAAAGGGCTCCTTGCCGACGCGCCCGGAGAGGAGTGCTTCGCCTTCGTCCCTGCACGCAGGTCGGGTCGGGATGCTCGACCCGACCCCTCTGATGGTTAAGTTAGACGTTGCTCGTCCCAGTCCCCCCCCCCCCCGTTTAGAATGCAAGGATCTTTATAAGGGAGTTCGGTGTTACCTAATGTGCCTGCTCGCAGGAGGTAGGATCGTACCTTCTGATGACGTCTGACATCGCTGTTGGCGTGATGTGCGGGATTGAGTCTGAGCGGTCGTTAATGGGCCTCAGTTGGCGTTACGACCCATGTCAGCTACGCGCTGTCCGACATGGGTGCCGGGCGTCAGCGGGCGTCACGCAAGTCTTATCATAATTATAACCCTCATCAATTTTCATATCTCACATTCGCTAAAGCGCTGTGCATTACATCTGTGTCATTTTTTTACGACACAAACCAACCCACCACCCCCAATTCTTGCCGAGTAACATTCGGATCAAGCGAAGCGAATATAATTAAGATGCTGAGTCTGATCCCATAGTCGGACGTGTCGATATGCTCGAGATGATTCGGAAAATAAAATCATATCATATATTTGTTAAAAGATTTATCATATCGAAGTTTATTAAGATAATATTTGATTTTTTTAATGAATAAATAAACGATGAAAATGAGAGTCGACAAATCATCAAAGTCTTTACCAATTAAAATTGACCGACAAATATTTGATGTTGCTGGACATGAGATGCATGCATGTTCGTTATATGATTGGTATGAGATGTTTTCGGATCTCATCCCCTACCAAGCAACATTGCGATCGCACCGTAATATCGAACGTCTTCGATGCCTGTTTTGTCATGAGCTGAACAATGGAGCCGAAGGCACGCATGCATGGATGGAGGGAGCGTTAGTGAGGGCGGCTGTGCCGTCGATGGTGGGTTGCTTGTTGTCCGCCACCAGGCTATGTGGTTGAGGTCGACATGCATCCGCCCGCTGAAACAGTGGCCGATGCTTCTTTTAACACCGCGAGAGTGCCTCCGTCACTTCAGCACGCAGTACCAATGCTGGTGCGGTGTTCACGGTTGGACCATTTGCAGTGGCTCCGCCGTCCCTCGGTGGGGTTTCGCCCCTCTCGACTCTGTCTCCGATGCGTCTCTTTTTTAGACGAACCACGCACGGTTCTCCGCTCCGGCCCCCCTCCCCCCCCCCTTCCGAATCGTCCGCGTCGCGTGACTGGAATCCCTCATCCGTCGTACCTCTGATGGCGTGGATCTACAGGAACAGGTAGCATCAGCTGTGAGGACCATCGGCTGGAGCTCTCTCTCTCTCTCTCATGTCAGTAATCTTGGTGTCGTTCAGAAACAAGTACGACGAGGAGGATGTGGCTGCCTCGGACGGGGAATTACATCACATCTTCCGGTTCTTCTTGCATTGGGCAATCCACGACACCCGACAGCTATTTAGAAGCTTGCGGAGCAATGGATGATGTCGATCGAAGTCTGATAGGTTGCACACTTCAGTCCTGAGAGCAATAGCAGCATTTAATGTGCTTGGGCGGGCGTGGTCATGGACGGATGACCACTGGAAAGGCCCCTCGCATAAGCTGGACACAGCAAGGACAGGCAGCGTCGAACGATGAAGATGAGGTTGCTCCTCTAATGGAGGGCCCCAATGCAGCACGAGCCACACTAAAAAGGGATGGCTACGATCCGTTCAATCAATCAATCAATAAAAAAAAAAAGTGAATCGAATAAAAAAATTAATTCGATCAATTTAAATTTATAAATCGATTAATCGAACTGAACCAATTGATTTTAATTTTAATTTATTTTACTTTAATCGGATCGATTTCGTGGCATCCGAACTGCTCGGAACACGCAGCCATGTTGGAGTGAGCTTTCGCTGGTTCTCTCTGTAATTGCAGGGATGATGATGGAACTCTCTCGGGATGCACACGAAAAGTTACCCCTGTCCAGAGAGAGAGAGAGAGAGATTTGGGGAGTCGGTGGTTCTTTCCGGGACGGGGAAGTCGAGCAACAACTTCCTTTTTGCCTTTACAGCCACTTCACACAACCTTGACAAGGCTCTCCGTCGCGGTGGATGTGATCAGAGATCCACCAAAAAGCAAAAGAGGAGCTGTTCTCCCCCCTGACGGCATGATGCCCAACACGTTCGTGTGCACTCTCTCTCTCCCTGAAAGTGGAGCTGAAATTTCCCACCACCTGGATTTGAGACCAACGTAATCTTGAGATACATGCATTCTCGAAGCTTACAGTGGAAAGATACGCTGATCGGTCAATTCCAAGATGCCTTTTTTGCATGGCCTTTTACTTTTTACTGCCATGGACAAAGTCTGCTGTGGAAGAATGGTGGCAGACACTGCCCCCACTGTTGGACCAGCAGAACGTTAAGTCTACGAGCTGGATGTGGCACTCAGCCCCTGCGCCCACGTTAAAAGGCGGTGGCGATTGAATGAATGTGAAGGAAGGAGGCCGAGAATCCAAAATCCAACCACGGCAGGCAGGTTTGACCATGGCCGCCCTGCCCTTTCAGCTCGCCCCCGTCTTCTGAGTCGAATCCCGCCGGCCGGAATGGGGAGGCACGCTTGCTGCTTCAAGCAGAAGCTGAGGAAAGGCCTGTGGTCTCCCGAGGAGGACGAGAAGCTTCTGAATCATATCACCAAGTACGGCCATGGATGTTGGAGCTCCGTGCCCAAGTTAGCAGGTACGTGTTCTGTCGTTCACTTACGTCAATGCTCGAGACTCGGCTCGGAGCTGAAGCTACGAACTTGCAGGTCTCCAGAGGTGCGGCAAGAGCTGCAGATTGAGGTGGATAAACTATCTGAGGCCTGATCTCAAGAGGGGCACCTTCTCCCAGCAGGAGGAGGACCTCATCGTCGAACTCCATGCGGTGTTAGGCAACAGGTACTACTGCTAATAATAATACATGGCATCCCCAGAGATGCGTCTGCAATCTCTGACTGCTGTTCCGTCAGATGGTCGCGGATTGCTACCCGGTTGCCGGGGAGGACGGACAATGAGATCAAGAACTTTTGGAATTCCTGCGTGAAGAAGAAGCTGAAGCAGAGCGGCATCGATCCCGACACCCACAAGCCGCTCAACGAGGCAGACGGCGGAGAGGCAAGAGCAGCCGGTAACGGCGACAAGGCGTCAGAATCCGGCGAGCCGAAGAAGCTCGCGCCGCCCGGGTCGGGGAATCCGGAGCACGCCGTCCTCCAGCCGATTGCGCCATTGATGCCAATGCTGGAGCGGAACCAAATTGGGAGGTCGATGACAGCCACGGAAGAACTCGGCCTTCCCAGAAGCGTGGAGAGCTCCTCCCTGGCCAGCTCAATGAGCTACATCGCACTTCAGCATGCATCTCGGAGCTCCAACTGCGACATCGTCAACCAAAATATGCCTCTCTGGTTTGCCCAGAACTGCAGGCTGCTCGATGTGATCCCAGAATTGAGCTACAACACACCGTCGACTCCATCGACCTCGGTGGAATTAAAGCCGATGCCCGCCGGTCTCCCAGCGGACGCCTCCCTGCTACCTTTCCAGTACTTCGAGGCATGCAATACCAGCAACAGCAGCGCGAGCAGCGGCAACAGTAGCAATGGAGTGGAGTTGCAGAGCTACAGTCCCTTTCTCGACAATGGCATCTTCCCGTGGTCAGAGCTGCTGCCCAACAAGGGAGCGGAAATCCATCTCGAAGGCGAGCCAGAGGATCTCAAATGGTCGGAGTACCTCAACGGCACCATCAGATTGACAGACACGATCAAGAAACAAAGCCGGTGCTCGTATGGAATCAGCAATGGAGAGAAGCATACAGCTATTCATTAATCGAGTTCTCGGAAACAGCAACTGAATTGGAGGACTCGGAAGCAAAGAGAAGACAGCAGAGTAGTTCACAGGTGTGTGTGTGTGTGTGGGTGTGTGTTACAAGATTTTTCTCATGCACATAAGTCTCGGAGAACAGTCGTAAGCTATGTAATCTTCGAATAATTTGTCAGGGTGGCAGTGTTATCCCAACTTAATTGTTTAGGTTGGGACAGAGTGCAGATAATAAAAGCTTCTTTTCAGTCACCTTCACCTCCTTCTTTTTCGCTGTTTTCTTGCATAGATGCAGTTGACATGCTGCCATGAAAAGTGGAAAAAAATCCATGTTCTAAGGAGTCCCCTTCAAGTTTCCTTCATCACTAACACCATCAATCCTTGGCCTTTTGGCAGTCAACAATCAATTCTGTGAAGGCAACTGCGCTCCACTGTCTGCTTATGGCCGTCTACCTCTTGCTGAATGATCCGATAACTACTCAGGTCACCTCAGCTTCGATCATGAGGCTTACGAGGCTCTAAATTCTCGAGCTATATATTAAACGAGACAAATCATATATACTTGAGTATGAGAAGATACATGTTCATGAAGAAAGTGCCATAAAAGGAGGCGCTTCCTGGTTGCGTGTAGAAGTTGGAGAGTGGCTCGATAGTCTACCGAGGCTGACATTTGTTCTCTTTGTCACTACGTTGAGGAAATCATTTAGAACAGCGATTGTGTGATGATGAAGCTGGCAAGCAGTAAGTTGCATAAAGGCTCATAATCAAAAGAGAAGCAAAGACCAAATTGACGAAGGAGAAGTCTGCCTGCCTCGAAAGATCTGCTCCTCTTTTTGTCTTCCTGCTGCAGTGCAAGATGGGAGCCTCATCACATGCTTAAACAAACGTGCAGGATGGGAGTGATTTGATTAGGAATAATATGACCAACTCTAAACATAAACAGACGAAGGAAGAAACAACAAACGTGCAATCAAGTAAAAATAAGAAATCTTACCGAGCTCAACGAGTGCCCATTCCCTATCAGATTCTTTAGCCTGACAAAAAAGAGGGGTGCAGGTACAACAAGGAAATTTAGATTGGCCACCTGATTTGACTCGAAAGCAGCAACAGAGGGTTCACCAAATATCGATGCGAGGCCCCATGAACAGGAATACTGGAAGAAAAAGCTGTGAAGGCTTCACCTCAACCATCTGCACATGCTGGTGGAAGATGCACATCAGAATAAGACTTTACCTTCCTTCCGGGTGCATTACGAGCACAGAAGGACCTTCTTGTGGCCCAGAGAATGCTGGGGAAGAGACGGCAACTCTGTTTATGTGAGTTTAGTGATTAATTGACGAGAAACAACTCTGGAAGTCGGCTCCACAGTTTCTGCTGTATGGTTCCATTATTGTGCAGGCAAAAAATTGCGACGGGCTTTGACATAATAAATACCAAGCAAAGACATGGACAATACGCAACCAAGGAAACAAAATGTTCTCGATCTAATATGCCGTCAATAAAATATGGGAATGGGGTCTTGAAAGATGAGAGGTCTTTTGTAGACAGGTAAAATTCTTCAAACTAAACATGACGCACCTTTGATGAACAATATGATTAGAATCTTCTGCGTGCTTTCCATGGTCATGCTGGTGCTCTTGTTTCTACAATATATTGTTCCACAAGGACCCCAAATCATGTGCATCTTAAAACAGGTCAGTTCAAAATGCTTCTACTCATTTAAGTCAGCAAACAAAGGCTAAACCACTGACTATTCAACAACTATTAAATACCCAGACCACGTTACATGCTGATCTAAAGCAGCTATGACATCAGTTTATGCACAGGAGGAACTACGATAGAAACATATTCGGAAACAATATGCAAGCGAGAAGCACGATAAACTTTTTTTTTTCTTTTAACAAGAGGCAAGATTGATTGATGTAAGAGGCAAAAGATCTATTGAAGGTAATAAAATGCTCGCAGGTAGGATGACAAAGTCAAGCCAAATTCTCCTGCAATAGGTCATTTCACCATAATTAATTATATGTACTACCACACAAAAAATATAAGGTATGAATTAAGTGTGTTCAACGACAATGATTTTTTTTATAATCACTACATCATAATTTATTGAAATGTGATCTACCTTAACCACTGAACTCCCTAACATATTTCTGCAAGCAACCAAAGATAAACAATTTGTTCCAGGAAACTGAGAATTAATGGTTTCCTAGTGACGATACAAAATGGAGCAGAGCCTCTACAAAATATTAGTTGTTGCACATAAATGATTAACTGAAACCATTTGTGCAATTGATGTGACGGTACATATGCACCAGTGAGTTCTTGAAACAAAATTGTAAATGAATTTGTCCACCTAGTAGAAGATGGAGAATAATTTGCATATCTCCTCTCTAAACCAAAGCATTCCGCTGCTTTTAGACTCAATACAGAGAATAGGCATCAGATAATCAAATAAGTTTTCCATATAAGAGCATAACCACAGGAAGCAAGCAAGAACAGAAAGCATCAAAAGGTAAAAGTAAAGCTCAGTGATCACAGAGCATCCACGGTCAAGGTTTTCATACCTTAGCTTCTCATATCTTCATTAACATAATAACAGATCGTATTCAGGTGCATTAAACTCTTATCTAGCGAAGCTGATATGAGATCAGCCACCAGAGGCTGAAATGATGGATTATCTAGAGCGTCACAGGTACACTAGATGCCAAATGATGGTCACACACACTAATCTGCTCTTCTTTCAAAATGATAATTCAGTTCTCACAAACATAGTGTATAAAATTATCAGGAATAAAATAGCTATATCCTGGATCTCATTATCCTGCCAGGTTGCTCTAGTGACTAAATGGGCCCCAAAATTGTCTTCAATGTTCGACAACTGAAGTTAGCCGCATTGACATCCCTTGGTAAAAGAAGAAATCAACTAAATCAGCAATAGCCATTTATCATAATATGCAAAACACGACCTAAACAATTTGACAAGCTCCAAGGAAAGATCTGAAGAAATATGAGATTTCCAAGATGCATGCCACTTTTTTCCCTTTTATCAAACAATAATCCATTGATTTATGTCCTTTGTATAAGAAACCTGTATCATTAAAAATATCATAGTTTTATTATATAAACTTGAAGTTCCAAAAGATGTTAGCAATAACCATAGAGTGAAGAAGTTGTTACCATTAGGCAATATGCCTCAGAGCAGCCAATGAAGACCGGACCATGACAAAATTCATCTAATTATCTACTGAATAAAATTGGTTAAATTAGTAATCAATCTAGTTCTCCAAGAAAAAATTTTGGAGGAAAATGCTGAGCCTGAGTCTCCATGCCATTACAGAACACATCACTGCCATGTCAGTAATAGTACAGAGAAGCCATAAAAATTAATGCATCTGTCACAAGAAGGCCTATGGCATCAAAAACATATTTTGGTGCAAATAATCCCCAAACCTGCAAGAAAATTGAAAAAGGTTTAAAGATTTACTTTATTATGGATTTAAACATGCCCATATAGTACCTAATCACCAGATAAAAAAATTGATTTTTACAAGTTTTCTGAAACAACTTTTTATTTAGGGAACATCAAAGAAATTCTTTCAGAATATAAAAACGTTGATTAATTATTATTGCTTTATCATCATTGATTGGTTTAAAGTAGTAAAAGCTAATATTATGAGGAAATATGGTGAATTGAAAAATAAGATCTCCCTAGAAACAGACCATTAGATGTCTTCTTTGAATTGTGACGCATATGATTGTCAATGTAGTTGTTGTAGCTGTTATAAGCCCATAAATCAAGAAGACCTGAACGTTCACAAGAATGGTACAAATGATTAGGGATAAACTGAAAATTCAGGACAGAGAAGTGAACAGGGAGAATGTTCACTGATCTACACCATGGCAATTATCGATAAAAAAGAACAAGAGAGGGAAAAGTAATTTTTGAGAAGTTGCAAAATGTGATATATGGTCTGTAAAAAATTAATCAAATTACCTGTGTCAGGTAGAGAAAAGTATTACCCTCAGCAGAGTTTTCCTTACTATTCTGCAACTGGATTGTGATAATAAATGGAATACTAAGAATAGGAAGAATGTGAGACACACCAAAAGTATCTATTGCAAGTAGAAGACCTTGACGGATGATATTGAAATGATCAAACCTGCAAAACAATAAGGTAATAAATGTATCACTTTTGTGAATGAAGATTTTAAGCCTCCAAACAAAAGCAAAGGCATTGGTGAAGAAAGGACCTAAAAGACTTATAAAGGTAGTGACCAATGAGTAACCATAAACATGCATCATAGAAAATCTGCAGTTTAATCAGTAAGAAATATAGAACATCTAGACTTACCCAACAAATGCTGCACCATAACGCAGACCATCAAAGGTACACCTGCATAATTATACACAAAGGTTACGTGTGAAAAGAGCAAGCATAAAGACTAGAAATTCCAGGTATATGTCAGGATATGAAAATGTGAAATCTGTCCGGACATGTGATAAACAATGCATGTCTACCTATCACATTTGTAACAAAATAACAACTAAACTCATCACATCATATTGGCCATAGTTTCAAGATCAATATACATGATTTTCACATCACATGCTACTGAGGAAGTCCATATTCACCCAATACTGGAAAAGTATTTTAGTCAAAATACTGGAAAAGTACACAAGAAATGTACAACTAACTTCATCTTACCAGATAATAGCATTTCAGGCATTTAAATGACGCACCTCTAGAAAACTATTGTCTTGCTTCATCATATCTCTAAATGCAGTCATAGAAGGATCATTCCACAGTATGCATTAAAAAGAAAATTACACAAAAATTTGAGAAAGAGTATAGCATCCTCCAGGGAAATAATTCCATCTGCTTTCAAATATGTGAATTATGGTCACTAATAGCATAATAAATTGAACACCAGGAACGAAACTGGCTTCCATATGCAGAACAAACTAGGTACCATGCTAAAGATATGGGTGTCATATGTATTATTCCAACAATTGTGCGTACAGATATGTGGACAATCATGCTAAGCTAGTGTATCTTTTGTGCAGGGTGAATATACAGGGAGCAAAAATTTTAGGTGAAAATCTTAACCGATGCATGAAATTAGCTATGGGGTACAGGTTAACTTGATGCAGTCCCCTGATAACTTATTCTAGCCTAAGCTAAATGTAAGAAAATATTCTACAGGTGTTAATATAAAAAAATTTATAAAATCCATGTGACTTACCAGTGACCAGTGTAAAAGAATAAACAAACAGCTAGAAAGCTCCATTGAATCACAGGTATAGGATCAATGATGAAGGCTCCCAAATCTCTTCTTGTGGATTCTATCCATCCTTCCCTCCATGACTTTACTATAAACCAGGCTGTCATAAAAAGATTATTCAAATGATACAGTATTACACTTATGAATTCCAGGAAAACATAGCAGAAAAATCATTGACAAAACAACTTCCAAGCATGTAATATAAAAATCTACAAACTAGTAGACTGTTATTTTAAGATTTATAATCATTACACGTAGACAAAACAACTGGACTAAAACTTGAGATAAAGAATACCTCCACTTATGAAAATCAAAACAGCAAAGGGACCTTGTCTTCCCAGTAGAATCAAGATAGTTGGGCTCCATGAAGAAACTAAGGCCAGAGATAAAACTGTCATCCTTGCTGTTGGCTTTACCCTACTACTGTCCAGAAACCGAGAAAGCACTGACAATACCAAAAGTCCAAAGCCAATAGCATAAACCACTTGAGGTGCAAAGTTCCTTCCAGTATATTGAACAAACAAAGAAATAGGCATCAAATTGCTCTCGGAGGCCCAATGTAATGCTATGAGCAGATAGCTACATACGGTTCCAAAATAGAGAATATATCTAAAGTGTGGCCAACAACATATGCCAGAAATGAACTTGTAAAACATGATTGCCAAAACGAATAGCAAAATTATTGGAAATATGTCTGTCAAAACTGTCAAAAGAGGATCTCCTTCATTGATACCAAAAATATTTTTAGAAAAGGTAAACAAAAATGTCGAAGCAGAGCTTTCCTTTGACATCCCAATTTCTATTCCAAATCTAATAATGGTACTTAAAAGAAGAAAGAAAAGTTCCTGCAAAAAACAAATATCACAAAAATATAAAATATGAAAATCAAAAACATCTATCTGCATGGAACTAATACTAACATCTGTCGGAAGCTTCCATTCCCTGATCGAACGCTGTAATCTGATAATACCAGCAGTAGCTAAAAGAAAATTTGCAACGCTTCCTTCTGCCACTGAATAACATTCATAATAGGCAATTAGAATAGTAAAAGATATGGACAATACAGTGTGCATAGTAGTTTTGAGCTTACATATGTAACTATTTGACAGAAAACTGGCTGCCCGTATTGCCACCAAGAGAAGAGGAGAAACCAGACTGAAATAATTACCAAGAATGTTCAGGGCATTTTGATAAGGCTTACAGAGAATATTTAGCCTTCTGATCGCCAATAGGTGAATGGCAAGAGAAACAAGCATACAACTGAGTCCAACACCCATCAAAGTTCCATCAAACTCTGTCCAAGCTGATCGAGCAAGCTTGGCAACACTCTCTAAGAAGTCAGAATATGCATCAATTTTCTGTTGAAAAGGTGACTCTTCGCTATCCTGAATCCTGTGAGGGGTACCCATAGGTAAGTAACCGCTGCTCACAGTATCTGACCAGTTAGTCTGAGCTTGACTGTACAACTCTGATACATGGTTTAGATCCTCAATAGGCAACCCAATAACTGACGTGGCAGAATAAAGATCAATATATCTCTTCACCTGTAAAGTAAACAACAGACCAAAAAGGAACTGAATTAAGAGAAGCATGGCAAGAGAATTGGAGGAAACCTTCTCAACTGAAGATTACAATTGGGATAGGCAAATAACAAAATAGATGTTAGACTAGTCCAGATTCAAATGTCTCCTACAACTAGATACAGATTCTTATCTGTTAGTTCCATAATTTGGTAAACAAAACTCCTTTGTCCAAATGAACATAAGAAAGCATGAGATGGCAAGGTAAAAGGCTACAGAAAAAATAACATTGAATTCATTCATTAATGGACATAAAACCGATTGCCCAATCTAATTATCTCAGATATATAGAGTTGAATTATGTCATCTCATGCCAATTTCTTGACATGAAATGACACATGCATATCATGGGCATGCTAAATTTACTTCTGAATGTTTGTTGTTACTAATCTCGTGGCTTGACACAACCAGAAAGAGTATCACACTCAGCCACAAGAAGAGAAACAAGAACCAAAATGAAAAGTAACAGCAAAAGCTTTCTATTATATGATGCTAACCTCGTGGCTTATTCGGTTTTTCCAATAATAAAGTCCTGGAGGAATTGCTTTGAAGCAGAACTTAACAGAAGTGTTAATACTGCTAATTGTTATACCTGGATTTCTACTTAAGTTATATTGGGGATTTCCTAATCAAATTTAGGTTAAAGTTAAGTAAAGACATTTTGGTAATTTAATTTGGATATAGAGGAAGACCTAAAAGGACTTTAATGGAAACTATAAATAAATATTTAAGTACTCTGAACTTAACTAAGCTTATGGCTTTTTACATATTTCAATGGTGACAGAAGATCCATGTAGCTGACCAAGGTTTTTAATCTCGTACTGTACCGATGTATAGAGCTTTGCTCGGTACGATACGGAATGGCATACCAAGCGATACGTATAAAATAGGCATAAAACCCTCCGAAAATACTTGAAAAATGAAAAAAAAAAAAAGTTAGGATAAAGTTTTTGAGTTAGAAATAAATATACATTTAGTATAGTTTTAACAAAACTAATGTAAATTAAGTTAAAAATAGTGTCACAAATCTTTTTCGAACTTTGAGGAGTAGCCTTGTGTAAGGTTTGCAAATTTCGATCCATTCCGGATCATCCTTCCGTTAATATTGAATTATCTATAGAAAAATTATTTGAATTGTTGGATTATTTTGTATATAATTTAAACTTTAAAATTCATTTAAATTAAGTAATTATATGTGTAGATATACTTGATTCTACCACCAAAACGAACGACGGACCTCTATGGGAGGTGGATCGAGGTCCTCGATCCTATGTATCTATATATCAATATGATATGTTTGTTGAACGCAATCCTGAAATTGATCCCATATATAGTGTATTGATACACCGTATGTCATTGGTGCATCAATGTGATGATGATCGTAGGTTGATCGACGTAAATCACATGTGTCCGAGGCAGCTCCTGAGGTACGAATTGGTGAATGTCACAACTTTTACTTTCGCTATTGATCTGCTATTTCGTATCATACTGTTGCTCGTAGAAATATGATCAACTATCACTATACTGTTGTTGGCCATAAGATTCTCCATAATACGATGACTGTGAATACGACGGTTGTAGAACCTCTTGATTAAAAAGTTCTTCCTATTAATCCTCCCAAATTAGCCTCCTAAATTTAATTCAATCCATAATTAGTTGCTTTGTTGAGTTTAGGAGAGTGAAAATAAAAGAATAAGAGAAAGAATATGAGAAAAAATGAGTTTGAGAGAATTTAAGAGAGTGTGAGAGTAAAATAGATTGAAATAGGGGGGGAGGAAAGGGTTTAAAAACCCTTGAGGAGGCCTCCAACGATCAGAACATTGCTACCATTCGATAACGATCGATTTCGACTGTTACCGCCAAGTACAACCTCGTATCGCCCGATACAGGGCTAAATACCGCATTCCGGTCTGCTAGTAGACCGGTATGTACTGCCCTTTCTGAGCGGTACGATATGGTATTCAAATCCTTGTAGTCGACCCCAAATAGTTGGGACTTATGACTTTGTTATTATTGTTGTTGTTATTTGTACTCCTAATTAATTTAGGATTTGGTCAATCCTCCACCTCCCTCTTTTAATCAAAGTCCATTCCTAACATAATTAGGAGGGATACCAATGTCCAAGTTAAATTGCCAAAATGTCCCTAATTAACGCTAGCCTAAATTTGATTAAGAAATCCGCAAAATAACCTTAGGTAGAATTCCGAGTATAACACTAATATTATAGTTTTTTACCTCTTTGGCATAATCAGGACAGACTCTTAGCTACAAATAGTTTAACAAAAGTAAATTAACTACACTGTAGTAGTAGCACAATTTTATTGCACAATTTCAAGTAGTACCTGCCATGAGTTTATGCAGAGAGCATTAGCATAGTTTTGCTTCCATGATGCCAAATCTGATGATGGTTGACAATCGTTTGTACCTGTTCCTCGACCTTCCCATGTATGAGCACTCAATGCATATATTTCAGGATCAACACGCCCAATGCTATAGAGAGAAAAATTCATTCTTGTAAGCCACCATGTATAGTAGGTAACACGGAAATTATGTAACAGAAAGCACCTAAGTTTAAACATATGAATATTATATACACACACACACACACACACACACACACACACACAAATACATGTAAACCTATAGACACACACTTATGGCATCGAAAACAGCACACAGACAAACATTGTAAACTGACATGGTTATACCTCTAATGGAAAAACAAAAAAAAAACCTAGAAACTAAATATTTAATATCTTAAAGTATCCCTTTTTTTGTGGAACATCAAATCAGCAACACTGATAAGTTGAGCAGCGAGATGCAATGTCGCTTCCTTTGGTTCAAGGGATACAACTACCAAAACAGAATATGTAAACAGTAAATCATGGGTTTAAGTATAGCATAATCATGAGCTAATGAGGTTGAATGTGCTGGAATCAAACACTGGCTTTCAAGGGTTCTGAAATGTACCTGCCAAAAGGAAATGGAATACCAAGGAGTGCTGAAATAGTTACTGCAAAGTCAAGCTGCATGTATAAAAAGAAATGTGAGAAAAGAAAAAAACAGTTGAAGGAATTGAAGGAACTGCTATATTCGCAATATTAGGGAACATGAGGATGGACCTAACCTGTTCGAAGATGCCAACGCATAGCTTTCTACCATCCTGATAATTTGAGAAATAAAAAAATTAAAAAACAAAGCAACAAAATATCATTCTATTGAAAACTAACAGCACAAACATCTTAATATTTTCAATGTATGCAACAAGGCACCACATAACTCTGACTGATGAATCAAAATACATATAACAAATCTTAGGTTTTACTTTTCGACTGAGAGAATCCTCAGTTTCACCAAAATTTGAATATAGTATGCAATCTTGCTCCTCAAATTGTTGTCTCCACTAGTTCATGTTAGTTTATAGTTTATACCCTACTATTGTCATCTTTTAATCCTACTATTTGGCATTATAGAGCTCAGTTTCATCCTGGTCAATGGCTCAGCTTTACTTAAGACCAGCTACTGATGCTATGCAAACCTAGTCATCAGCATCTTACCCTGATCAACTTTCATTTGGGCCATCAATGCTTTATTAATTTATCCTAAGTTCCTAACTATTATGTACTAACTTTTGTCATATAGTGTAAATTGTCCGTTGCATTTGCCTTTAACTAGTAATAAATTGTAAGATACTCCAGCATAGGGTATATAATAATAGATTTTGCCTTCAATATCAACATTTTCAAACTAGAAACATGTGAAAAGCAAAGCCTTATTTCTTCCTGACCCATATACCTCCTCACAACTCCTAAATTATCTTTCAATATCATCTCCATTGACATCCATCAATTAATTTGTTTCCCATCCTAAAGGTGATCATATCAATTAATTTGTTTCCCAATTAATTTAATATGGTAATAAGCTTGAGAAGGGAAAGAGTTGATGACAATTGGAAAAGCGTACAAGGCATCTAGGAAAGCAGATAACAAAAGACATGTTACCATATTTATTGCATAATTAGAGCAATTTTGCTTTTAGAAAAAATGAAACAGATTTACTAAAATGAATGTGCAAAGTGTGATGATATTAGTTGTTCTAAACCAGCTTTAACTAGAAGGGGAAGAGTGCATCAAAGATTGCACATCACATAAAACAATAATTGTGGTATAATGTAGAATAACGATATGAAACCGCCACCAGTTACAAAATTGATTCCAATAAATGAATTAGTTTCACTGAGACATAAACATACCAAATCAGGATGGCAAAAACTTGAATCAAGAACAGATGAAACAGAAGCTGGAGGACTCTGTAAACTCATAGCAAAGAGTGATGTTTCAACCTGCAGAGTACATGCTCAAAACGAATAGATAGGTGAGCAAGAAACTCCTAATTAAAATAAAAAGAAGTTTATGGAGAACAAGCATAAAGTTGCTCACGAAACTTTAAAAAGGTATAAGAAATACACTGAACCTCTTCTGCTGTGCCACCACCATGATCACCGTTTGTGGTTTGGCCATGATCACCCATTACAATGAGAAAAGTGTTCTCATGAAGGCCACCTGCTCCAGATTCGCTCTTCAGCACGTCAACAACTTCCTGAAGAGTAGTGTTAGTTGATACTAGATGAAAGCATGAGTTATGTCACAATGGTCATTGTAGTTAACAATAAAGGCTAGCAGGAAACAGAAAATTTTGAGCAAGTGGTTTCAGCAAAAATACCTCAAGAATACTGTTATATTGTTCCAACTTCTGTATCATCTGTGCAGAATCAACACCAAATATATGCCCCGCATGATCCTAAAAGATTAGCATCACCACATTTAATAAAGTGAAAAATCTTTCGTAAAAAGAAACATGTGTTTTACTTATGGATGCAATAACTACTTTGAATCCAAAAAAGGCTCTAAGTCAAGGAAGAGGTATTTCTCTCAAAATTGATGACATTTTTATTATATCAAAATGGGTCAACAGAGGGTGCAGTTCTTTACCCTTCTTCAGTTTCTAAACTTTGGTAGTAAGTAGTAACAGGATCTATAGAATACCCAGCTTTAAACAGATTGAAATGCCTCATAACAAAGGCTTCTTATGATTAACGTGGCTGGCATTATGTAATGAAACATCACAACCTAAACTGCAGTTTTGCAAAACAGAATTGGCAAAAGGATGTTACTTGCAGTGGCTGTGAACATCTTCTGAGGGTCAAAAAGTGTTAACAAGTATGGAAGAAGCATAGGATAAATGGGAGGTGGAGGTATTCCTGAGATGGCATGTTCACATTCACCTGCTGGATGTTGTGGAAGGCAAGAATTCTTTGAATTACCAGAAAACTCCAACCTTGATGTCATCCTCAGAAATTAAATCTGGAGTTATTTGGAATGAAAAATCAGCATACCCATCATGAAGATGAATGGGTATCGAGACCTCTAGTCTGGAGTGAGACTAATGCTCCATCTATAACAATTTTAGTTTTTTCTCCCTTTTGCCCCTTTTGTCCCCTCTCTTTCCTCTGAATACTTAACTATCTTACTCAAATAGCACTACAGGACTTACCTAAAAAAGAAAAGATAAGATTAAGAACACATCTTATTTTGTCTATTGATAATAAGAAATTGATCATCATCTAAGTATCACATATGTTGCAAAAAATTATGCAAGCATAATGCCACTTAAATGGAAAAACCAATATAACCTAGAAACTAGGACAGTAAATTCAATTCATGTTTTCAAATTTTGAGTTGGATCATGATAAATATCATCTACATTTCAAGCCCCAAAATTTTCTTCATAACTTTCATTTGCTCTCATGTGAATTAACTTGTGGATCATTTTTGCAGTTTGTACAGAAGCATGATTGATAGTAAATTCAGAGAAGTTTCCAAGGTATGACAGGATGGAAGCATTCTGTTTGTATCTAAAATGTCCAAGAAAGGTAAAAGATGATTTAAATGAGGCCCTGAAAGCAAGAGAAAAATTATCATGCATGAGTTTCCTCTTAAGGCAAGTTCCTTAAGCCCTGACAACCCATACATATTCCTTCTCTTCTTTTATATCTATTTTCTTCTAGTATCTCACTGCCCTATTTTCTCTATATTATACCACTTCATTAAAGCTGTCACAACACATGTGGCATCTTAGTTGTTTTTGGTCATATACATCTCAACTATTTGAATGTATTAATTGGGACAACTAAGCAAAATCATTTCAGGGTTACATGGTTCACTCAAGAACCTAAGTATGAAATGGGGGTTCTCATAAGAAAGACTACATGAAGGATACTACAAAATTCATATAATTAGTTCCCACTTTCCTTGGTTGCAGATCAAAATGATTTCCTGAAGAAATTCAAAATCTTCGTAGGAAACTATTATGAGTTGTGAATCAGATCTGCTCACACAAAGAACATTTGTCCCAGTTGTCCTACATAATCACAAATCTGATGTGATGCAATGAATTGACTACCCTAATTTAGGAGAAAGCAAGGAAGTTGTGACGCTCATGCATGGATTGCATTGATGATTAATCGGATGTCAAGCATCTTAATTTCAAAGAGCAAGCACATCTGTTGCAAGTACTTTTTCAGTGCCCTAAGAAGTACCAGAGCTAGTTGTCTCATTGCATTGTATCGGAGACCAAACAAGTAACAAACTGCAGAAATTGTCAGGGTCAATATAAGCAAAATAGAAGCACATCAATCGGTGCCAAATAAGTTCCAGATAAGATTAGGTCAAACTGAATCCAGGAACCAACGCAAGGTCCTGAGACACAAGTCGCTCAGTCCTGTTTCTCTATCGTTGAATTTTCTTCTCCTTTTTGCTGAATATAATAAGTGTTGCAATTTGGTCTCTTACAAGTAAACATAGGATTCTAGTTAGTAGTATTTCTCTTAGATTTTGTCTTGCCGGCACCTGCATTCCTTTTATTCACATCTAGAGAGTTCTAGACTAGGTGAAATAAGAATAATATCTGCTCCGAAGAATAATTCATGTAGCTGGAAAAGAGATCAGCCCACATAAATCCTTTGTATAATAAACAAGCCTTCTTATGCCTTCAGGTCAATGTAAAAGTCCTTTCTATCCACCTGTTCTATGTCTACTCTATTTTCTTTACCTCTTTTCCCTATCATCTGAAATACCAGTAATTACCAGGTTAGCTTACTGGAACTGCATTAGTAACTAAATGAAGGTGAGATCAGAATATGGAAGACTTGAACAATGAAAGATGAATCTTTTATAAGAAAGAAAATATACGAGTGACCCTACCAGACCTTCTAAACTTATTGACAGTTGAATCAGTCACACAGTAGCATCTGCAGTCAAACGGGAGGTGAGAATATTAGGTTCCTCTGATTTTACTTGTAATAAATCACAAAGTACTCATTCAAGATTTAACTTTTGTGATGTAGAATCCTCTCTTATCATGAAATCTATGCATTTGAACAACAAATCCTCTCTCATTGTGAATTTTGTGATGTTGTAAAAATCAATTACATGGCAACATCTACCAAGAAGCAACAGAAACAGAATTAAAGATCTGGCTAAGCCTTCTGTCGAAAAGATTAACAATGTGATTATATGAAATATTATTTACCAAACAAGCAGAAAACCAAGTTATGATGAAAGGACAAAAAGATACAAATAGTCATATACAAGTATAAAAGTTTAGCAAATTTTGCATGTTCATCCATCGATATAACCTGCACGCAGGTAATTTAATTTTAAAGTTTGGAGGGGAACTTATCATAACACAATTATTTCAACTTACCACACCAAGGAAATGTGCAATAAGAACATCCCAGTCTTCTTTGTACAATGATGGAAGCAAGTGTTCGATCACACCATTATCTACCTGCCAGATAGAGACTGATTCATATCAGTAGAAAATATGTGTATATATCATGTCCTTTGTTAAGAATAAGGCACCATTTTCTGGTGGATTGAGAACATAGATTTAAGTGAACTTACCGTATCAAGATCTTTAACATTAAAGGAAGGGTAAGGATATGATGTATTAAAGTGATCAGGAAACAGCTGCAACCAGGTATCATCACCCATCATCAGCACTCTCTTTCCATTTCTCACCAACTGTTTTGACATATGAAGAAGTAACAAATATCAAAGATTGAAATGCATAATAATAGCCTATTGGACAACATTAGGCCAAGAAGACAAATAATGAGAAGTTTCTTGTTTAAATACTTACTTTGCTTTTTACAATAAATGAACAACGTGAATGTAATACTAGACAAACAAACCTGATGTATCAGATTCTCTTCCACAATCGATAAATACTTTGTTTTTTACAATGCATAAACAACGTGAATGTAATACTAGACAAACAAACCTGATGTATCAGATTATCTTCCACAATCGCTGGAGCTCCAAAACTGTTCCCAACATCAATGAATGTTGGGAGTCCTCCAGTAGTTAGTCCCTGAAGATGTCCCAACAGAAATTCAAAACTCAAACAAGGTAACAGGAAGACAAGCCGCAAAAAAAAAAAAAAGAGGCATGGAAAAGAGGAATTATGACTAAAAAATAGATTTATAACATTTCTTAGAAATTAATTGTTGTGATGCCAGATAAAGTATATTTCAAAAATTATCTATAAACATAAGAAAAAGAAACGCCAGCGACAAAGTATCTGGTTGTGTCAGATATAGCTTGAATAGGAAGAACATGCTCTTGTAATATTTATGAAATAAGCACCTCACTCGACATCCTTGATAACGAAAGATTGCTGTTAATTAGTATAACCACAACCATCAAGCCTTCTCCAGAGCTCAGTATCAGCTGTAACAAGTTAAACATCTAGAGCAATGTAATTCTGTATTTCTCTCCATTTCATATTTTCTTCAAATTTGATTGGAGTTGTTCTCTCCTCATACGATCCTCATATTTTGTTCTCCATTGAATAATCAATAACCTACTAAAATCTTACACCTCACTAAGCCAGAATCAATGAATTGAAAAAGATGCTCCTTTGTGTATGTGTTCTAACTTACTCCTTTAAGAATTTCCATTTTAAGGAGCCTGCAGATGGTCAATCATTCAGGTGTACATCAGAATATTAGATAGAAAATTTGAAAAAAAAAAAATGCCAGCAATAGTATAAATGGATAACAAACTTTAAACCTGGGGGCAAAAAGAAAGACAATCCACCACTCTCATGATGTCAATACCTAAAAAGGATGGAACAATTTAACAAACTTTAAACTTTTTCTAAAGGAAACTTCTTAATGAAATTAAAAACATATTTGCAATGAGAAGCTCAGTGTAATGGAAAATGGCTCTATTTAAAAACAGTAATAGTAATGTGAAAACAGGAATGTGACTGCAATTCTACAACTCCTAATTATGTCGGAAGTACAATGCTATGGTTAATGGCAAGCTAATGAATCTATTTCGAGCTAACGGAGCTAATTATTAAAAAGATAACAATTTTTAGGAACATGGGTTATTACCCCTTTTTCTTGAAGATAACTGTACTGGAAAACACTTCTCATCATTGTGTCACTTAATCAGAAAAAACATACATGCAAAGCACTAGGTGTAACATTCTTGGTAAAATAACAATAATTGTAACACTTAATTGAAGTGAATGTGGAATCATGATAGATATGTTAACCACACCGTGCAAGCCACAACCAGATTAACATAAATAGTCATACAATCAATACATGGTGCTTCTTGAAATACTATAGCTTAGAATGACGAGAATAACTTTCAGAATTTAACCTTCAATCGTTGCAAGCTTGTAGTTGGTGGGTCTGCGATGGCCTTAAAGATCCTAGCAGATGATCCTTCCGCCGAGGCCAGCTTCTGTAACACCCGTAATTTGTCCATCCATGGCTTTTTATCTGCAGCAAACCGCATATATTACCCCGATATACTCGTGGATTATTGGAAATAACAAGATAGACATTAGGAGAAAGAACACTGACCTTTAAAGAACGTACTGGGCGCAACAAAATCGAATCTGATGTCCAAGAAAAAACATCGTGTTAGAACTCGAAAACGAAAACCTAGAAACTTAACCTACAAGCGAAAAAAAAAAAATCAGGAAACCGGATCGAGAAATCGGGGTTTCGCCAGCCGATCTGCTTATGGAACGACGAGAGGAGTCTTGGTAGGGCGGAGAAGAAGAATTACCTGAGGGCGTCGAGCACGATGATAACAAGGCGATCGACAGCCGGCTTCGTCCAGCAACGGCGATCTCGATGGAGTTCATCAGGTGATTCGTCGGGCGGGGGAGTGAAGTTGCTGCGGCGATGAGAGGAGGAGATCGAGGAGCAAGGGGAGTGGGTGAGATCGGAGCAGTGGCTGAAGGAGGCAAGCTCGGTGCGGGTGAGGAGGAAGCCTCGGGTGAATAGGTAGATGGCGAGTGAGTGGATGAGGAGGATCACCAAGAAGGGACGTATCAAGCTCCATTTCGATCCTCCCGCCGTCTCCATGGCGAGAGCGAGAGGACAGAGCGAGAGAGACGGTAGGAATGCCGTTTGGTTCCCACGACAGATGTGAGTTTCCAATGGACGTATTAAGCTATTTTGATTCGACTCGAAATATACAGCATCATCTTAATTTAGTTTCATACAGGAGGCCAGTGAACTCAATGAACATGTTGATGACGGTAATAATGGCAATGATACTCGATCTAACGTCAGCTGCGCCAGATAAGACCCGATCTGACGTTAGCTGCTCCAGATGATACCTCGCGTCTCGATTGACCTGATAGCACCTGGTCAAATAGATCGGAACGTCGGTCGAGGCACATTAACATCTTGCTCAGGCTCGGTCATTCACGTCACGCCAACGCCGCTGTCAGACGTTACCGGGAGTACGATCTTGCTCTCTACAAGCGGGCACATCAGGCAACGACAACCTTCACTATAAAAACCCTCGCACTTCGAGAAAAAGGGGGGAAGAAAAAAATCCCTAAGACTATCCACTGACTTGATCGTCGGAGGGGTCGGGCTGAGCTCTCCTGACCCGACCTACGTACATGTACGAAGACGGATGCCTCCCACTAAACGCCCAAGCAAGGAGCCCCCTCCCGGAGGAAACGGTGACCTCTTCGCGATCGAACCACCGCAGTTGACCACTTCAGCAGTCTCAATGATTATCCCAGGAAGATCCCCAATCATTTAGACTTGAACCCAGTTGCGTCGCCCCGAGGCCGTACTTAAGGTTATTTATACTAACACACGTAGTTCTTATAATTTAGTATATCATGTCATCACCTCTGATTATATCATAAAAAAATTATATTGGAGCAAAATTATCTTTGACTATGTTGAATATCTAAACATTAACTTGATATATCCAAACATAAATTTTTATGTCATTGTAATCATTTTCTATCTCTCTTTTGTTTTTTTTTCAGAATATAAAACTATAATTATTCATAAAGCACGATTACAAAAGAGTCAAAAGAGAACAAAGAACATCAGCTTACCATCTAATATTTTCAGAATTGACTTCTGTTTATATGTACACGTGCACATAAAATGCCTGTGTATTTACTAAAATGTCACGTGCGGTATGCTGGTTCTTTGCTTCCGGCTCAACTCCCATTCCTTCGAATTGATTAGTTAGGGTTCGTCGCGTGCTCAATCCGACTCGTAGGCGTATGCGGAGCAGCAGCGGCTCATGAGGAAACAAACGCAGTATAAATGAGTCAGTGACGCGGGAAAGGAGATAGCAGTCCTCCCAGGAGCTTAATTTTCCTTTTCCTTCTCCTTTTGATCGACCGCGGTCTCCCACTCTGGGCTGGAACCCTTCGACATTGTCATTGCCATGGGAATCAAGGTTAGGGTTTCGTTTCATTCCGTCTATTGCAGTTGTTTCTTGGCATCCTCACCGCGTGATGGCGTCCTCCTGCTCTTCTTTGCCTGCTGTCCCTGCTAGGGTTTGACGAAACTCCTCGCGGATAACGCCCCCAAGGCCATGAAGGAGCAGAAGTTCGAGAGCTATTTCGGCCGGAAGATCGCGATTGATGCCAGCATGAGCATCTACCAATTCCTCGTCCGTTCCCCATCTCTTGGCCTCATTCCTAGTGTTTCTCGTTCGGAACTTATTTGGATTTGCCATTAGCATAGAGCTGCTTGTTAGATGAGTTCTAGGGTTTTGGGTTTTGGCAGATAGCGCCTCAGATTTTTAGCTCTCTGTCTTTTCCCCTAATCTTACGCGAATTCATGGTTTGCAGTCATTTTGTTTCTTATAGATTGTCGTGGGAAGAACGGGTATGGAAACCCTCACCAACGAGGCTGGCGAAGTCACAAGGTTACAAAGCATTTCTTTAGTTTTATTCTTCTTTCCGTTTCTTTATAAGTGACAATAAAAGTTTGAATCTCGATAAACATTTCTATTCAGTGGGTTTATTTATTTCTTCTTCTTGTTCTGACGTTTTGTTTGGTCTAAAAAAGTCACTTGCAAGGGATGTTCAATCGAACTATTAGATTATTGGAGTCGGGAATAAAGCCAGTGTAAGTCGGCATTTAATCCTTTCATTTTCTTATTTTGAATACAGTTCTTTGGTTTTCCTGGAACTCTTGATTAAAAGCATCAAGTTTCTGTTTTTGTGTATGTGGTGCCAGATATGTATTTGATGGTCAGCCACCAGAATTGAAGAAACAAGAACTTGCCAAGAGGCAAGTCTTTACTAATCTGCTATATTCTTTTTTCTTTTATTTACATTCTCATGGCTGAATAATGATGTTCTCTAAGTTTGTTGTGATTTTAGATACTCAAAGAGGGAAGATGCAACCAAGGATCTGAACACAGCAATAGAGGTAAGTGCTTCTCCATAATGGTGCTTTCTTACGACCTGAGATGTACTTTATAGGTTGTTTCTTTTTCCCCTCATGCTGCTTCTGGTCCCTCTTGTTCTGTTTTTAACCCTTTTAGGTGATGGCTTCTACCATTGCAGACTGGTGACACAGAGGGGATTGAAAAGTATAGCAAAAGGACAGTGAAGGTAGTTTTACATGTTTTTAGTTTTCAACAGATGATATGCCGTGAGGGTCTTGTTGACAACTTTTTAGTCCTAAATGATATTGATATTTACTTGTGTAAACTAGCACAAGGAAGCTTTAAGTTGTTTCTTTCTGATGTAATCCAAATATTTCAACCTATTTTTTGATATGCTTTTGGAAGAACTATCTGGGCAGCTATTAAACACTATATTACAATGCAATGCTTGTCTGATTGACACGGGGAAATGAATACCATTAGGAATATGATGTAGTTCATATTCAAAGTGAATAGGCTAATTTTTGGTTAGTGTAATGCATTTGACATCTGAAAAAGCGAACTGCAAGCATCTCGTTGCTATTTTATAATTGCTTTCTATTTCTGTTGCTCGTTTCGGATGGATGTCCAAAGTTTCATCAAAATTGGCTGCATTTCTGTAAGCCGTTTATGAGATCAGGCTGTCCACCTATTGGTGACATCATGGTCTGCTTTGGCAGTTAATCTGCCTCAGTCTTATGTTACTTATGATTGACTTATATGTGGACAAGAACAACCAGAGACGGTGACAGGAATTACCAATGGTACCACTCTTACAACAACCATTTCTTCCATAGTGGTTGTACAGAAAACAAACAAGAAAATATTGATGTATAATTATTTGAATCAACAATCCTCAATTACATTTATAAAGGACTCAAGATGTTCGATCATTAAGTTTTTCCTGACCTAGTATTCATGAAGTAGAAAAGTTTAATTTGACATCTTTATTATGTTCGAGTAAATTGGCCCATATAGTGAAAATATGGATCTGGGTCAATACAAGCCATTTCAGACTGCATATAATTTAAAAGATAATTTGTTTACGACCAATGTTTGTGATGTGACCAACTGGCAAGGTAAGTGAATGACCAATAATGTAGGCAACCTGACATGAACCTAGACTTTTTGTTCCCAACTTAGCTGACTCTTGGGTGCAGTTGTTTAGGTGGGATTTGGGATTGAAGATGTCAAATTTTATTAAGACACAAATAGGTAAATGGAATGTTCAAGAGCTGTTTCGGATTCATCAACATGAGAAGCTAAAGAAAGATAAGCAGTCTGATAAAGTAACAAATTTAACTCCTATATATTTGGCAAGAAGAGGATAGATGGATGTATGACTTGTTATTCAAGAAATCACGCGTAAAATGTATCAAGTTCGAAAATTCAGAATTTTAGACAGTATCAGCATTGAAGAAGTATTTATTAGTAGCAGTCATCACCAATTAGTAGGGAAGTCAGTGCTGACAACTGTTTAGTTAATTTGAACTGTAATTCTGCAAAACTCTGAGTATACCTGCTACTTATGCACTAATTTCATGATGATTTTTGGTTTTGCTTGCTAAAAGTTTCCATTTTTTGACAGGTAACTAGACAACATAATGACGATTGCAAACGTCTCTTAAGACTAATGGGTGTGCCTATCATTGAGGTAAAGTTACTTGGTTTAAGTTGCTGTTTGTTGAATGATTGATGGATGCATTCATACACATACAGGATGAAGTATTACAGCATATCAGGGAGACTTGGTTTTATTGTTTTGCATTGTCCATTCATCAAGTTATCTTTTTCTCCTTATTGCATGATGAATCAAGCTCAACAAGCACTGCTAACGATGACAATGTCCATTTGGCTTGGCATATGAGCATCTTTTGAATGGTTGCATGTGTTTCCTTAATTGATTTTTTAAGCCTTGTTTCAAAAAAGCTAAGCTCTCACTTTTTATTCCAAAGGCACCTTGTGAAGCAGAAGCTCAATGTGCAACTCTTTGCAAAAGCGACAAGGTAACTGATGCACTTCCATAAATTTTATTTTATTGTGATATCCTAAACATATTTTCATCTTTTTTAGTCTTTATGTCTAGGTATATGCTGTTGCATCTGAAGACATGGATTCTTTAACTTTTGGAGCACCGAAATTTCTTCGCCACTTAATGGATCCCAGCTCCAAAAAAATCCCTGTTATGGAATTTGAAGTTTCAAAGGTATGTTTATTTTAAATGACAAGACTCTGGTTAATTGAACTACGAGTACACAGATCTCATGCTTATGTTTCAGGTTCTTGAAGAGCTAGAACTCAGCATGGATCAATTCATTGATTTGTGCATTCTCTCTGGATGTGACTACTGTGATAGCATAAAAGGTAAGATGCATCTTGCACATATTGCACATTAACAGTGTATACAACACATGCCACATGGATGCAAATATTTGTGCAGATTGATTGACAAATCGTCTTATAACTAAAGTTTATGTTTCCCATGTTTCTGATATCCTTGGTCATGATTCTTGATTCCTTTTCGATAATATTTGTCGGACTTCTATGCTTAGGATGATGAGTATACTTTCTTGCATATGACGTTGTATTTAACCTAAAGAAGGGAAATATATAGAACACATAGAGAATGTATTGAACATTCTCTTTTTGTTTAGACATAGTTGTACTTGTAAATCTCTCAAAAATTTCCAGATAATACTTGTCACTCTTTTAAGGTTATTCAGACATATATTGAGATATAGATAAGACTTATATCACATCTCTCAAGTTTTGATTCATAATATGGACACATTGATATAAGGCATAACATGCATATACATATATATGTCCAGCTCTTTCCAGCTATGAAAATGTTTTTAGATTGATATCATCTGATCCACTTTCAGTTCTAATGGCTCACTATAACAGTGCAGTATAGGGCAATTAGTGGCTCAGTGTTGGAAGTGCCAGCAGCGATTATTATCCGAGGACCAATATACTCTTTGTATCATTGTGACAAATGTAATAAAGTTCCTTTTTTCATATCTTATTTCTGAGCTTAAACTATTACTAAATAAGTGAAGTTAGAGAACTTGCTTAAGGAAAGTCTATCTAGACTATCTTATTCAATTTAGCCACTGGATATAATATTGCAGATGAATCCATATAAATATCACCAGGGACACACTAGTGAAGAAGTATGCCTCATTTGACATTGTCACTGGCAAGAGGGAACAAGAATGACAAGGTCTTACGTTGAATGTGGTACCAGCACTAAACAAATGGGAATGTTTTAGATGTTCTGCTAGTTTTAACATCCATTATGTCTATTTTAAACAAGGCTATTTTGTCCTAAAATTTATTTACCTATAATTAGTCTTCCTAAAATTTTGTCATCACCCATTAGTTTTTGCTTTGTGGTATTGTGATCTACGTTCACCACGATTCAGTTCAATGAAGTAATAAGTTAATAACTATAATAACTAGGCTTATGGCCAGGTGGCCCACACATGATTATATATTTGTTTTTATGCACATTTTTCTGCTTGTGCATGTGCATGGGTGTGGCATGTGCACATACATGGGTTTGCACAAATAGAATTGACAAGGTGCACATACATGGGCATTTCCAGATTCAAAGCAATAAATACCCTCCAATTTCTTAATCAACCTTGGTGCCCTTTTACTCTTGTGATGTAAGAATCTAATGTGGTGCACCAAGTAAAAGCAGGTTTCAATTCATGGAAACCTCGAGATAGTCTTTTTCTTTTTTGGGGGAGTTTGAGCTTTTGCTAGGCATTCTCTGAAATTTGGTATTTATCGGCATACCAACACATGGTATACTGGTACATTGCTATGGGTCTGGTTCTTGATACCTTGGTTAGGTCTAACCATAAATATTTATCTCTAGTGTCTATTTTGGCTAAATGTCTCCTTTATATATTTAGAAATCCCAAGCTAGTATAAGTGAGAAAAGGTTAGGGACTTGGAAACTTATCTGATGAAGTTTCTTATTTTTGTTAAATTTTCTCGTATGACATAGTATAAAAATACATCCTTTTCTCAATTCATGCTTGAGTGATATTCAAAGAATTTTGATGTATGGTGCCCATTCTTAATTTGGAAGAGTGTATATGAGCTCTAGAACAGATTATTACTTCTTTTGGTATGCTTGTAATTTTAGTTTCATAATGGATTTTCCATCACTATGCATGTGATACATTCAATTCTTTCTGACTTTATATGTGTTGAAGATCTGTGCTAGATTAGATAGCTGTAAGTAATTGCTTTTGAAGCAGGTATTGGAGGTCAAACAGCTTTGAAGCTTATTCGGCAGCATGGTTGCATAGAGAATATCTTGGAGAACATAAATAAAGAAAGGTAGAGCAAGATTAAAATTGAATCTTAATCTGTTGAGATTGATACCAGATTATACCCTGATCTTATGATATTTATACACTTAGCTGTAAGAACTATAAAGCACAGGTATTGATCGTCATGAAGTTTATTCAATCATATTTCTTAAAAATGGATATTTGTATTGGTTCTTTTATTGTTTATAACATACTCAGAATGAACAAGTTTGCTGTTGAAAGAGTAGCCATATGCATCTATTATGTGTGTCAAACATCCTTGCATTTAAGACAAACATCCACCAAACAAATGCTGATTTGATCCTTTGTTCTCAGAATATTGTGTGTCAAAAATGTCTTGCATCTAAGACAAACATCTATGAAACATGCCAACTTGATCATTTGTTCTCAAGAATGGTGGTTCTTTGCCATTCTTGCTGTATGAGTTTGCAGATTGCTTTGACTTGACTTATAGGTGGCAATTGTGATGATATATCTTTTAGAGGTGTTTTGCCTACAGACTTTGCTATTGTTTTCTTCCATCTCAGATTGCTCTGACATTGCATTCTACTTTGAGGGTTCTTATTCTGTTAAAAAAATAAAAACAAGGGTATCGTGGTTTTTCTTGTCTCATTTTACAAGAACCAGGCATAATACTTTTATGGGAAAAGGTTTCTTTGTTACCATTTCTTTTCTTGTATATTGTCTTAATAGACAAAACCTTTATTAAAGGTTTCTTATAATATTTGTCATTGTTATACTTATAATACCTGAAACATGCATATTTTACCGAACTTCACCGAAGTTGGTTATATATTATAGTGGAAATTTATTTTTTGAAAAATCATGAAACATAAGTTTATGTGTATCTAATTTTTTGCTTATTCCTTTTGAAGAGGATAATACATGCATATAAACTAATGCTTTGGATGAATTTGTATGCTGTGAGAGCAGTTCTTTGGTGGTTAGTCCATCTTTCGGAGTGCTCAGGACGTATAGTCATCAGTTTAGGTCATTCCTGCCATGTATAGGATTGACTTATTCTTGGAAATTAGACTGTTTGATGGTAGGATTGAGTTTTGTGAGTGTTATCAATTATTATCTAAACCTCAACTTCCAAGAATTTTTTGGCTACAACTAGTGTGTATGTACACATGATACCCCTCGCTCAAACAATTAGGACAATTGGTGCCGGAGCTTTTATTTTGTAATAATGGTTTAACTTTTAGTTTACACTTGTGAACTCTAAGATAACAGTCCAAATTTCAAAATTTCCTTCTTTTTGAAAAAAAAAATTTATCTCGTGCTTGTCACAAATTAGTTAATAAAGCTATTTAAAAAAATCATCATCATGAGTGAAACTCTGTTTTTCCTGTAGTTTCTTATTTCTGTGCTTATTAGGTGTTGTCTTTTGTGCTATATGTTTTTTTCTTTCTGGATCTTGTTGGCCTTTATATATTATCCAGGTAATTCTAAAGCTTCTGCCTAAACTTTATGTATGTTTACTATGTTACAGGTAATTAGTAGGCAAAAAAGTTCATTTTCTTCAATAATGAGTTAACATGCCATCAGTATCTGAACAAGGAAATAACTACAGTAAATTTGCTACCACCTTATATTATCTTGTGCTTCTTGGCCATTTAACTTGGCAGGGCTCAAACCTATGTATTAAAGTTGTATTCATTAGCTAGCATATTGAAGACTTAGATCCTGGGTTTTGTTCCCTTTCTTTGAAATGCTTTGGCATGCCCATTAGAGAAGCCACTTGCTAAAGTCCAGTGCAAAAGGATGTACTAGTCAAGGCTAAGCCATAAGCCAAGTTTGTTATGACTTGAGGAACTGGCTGATTTAATAATTGGGTGTAGCAGGCGTTCACCAACATTTTTTGTCCATCTTACTATTTCCTGATGTGTAGATCGATATTGTTATGTTAGAAGTACATCACTGAGATGTCATAATCTCCTACGTTAGATTCCTGACATCCTTGTCAGGATTCATCATGTATTACATAATTCTTCTGCAAATGCCCCTGATGTCTCGTGGGACACCATTTTCGTGTCTACTAATGCCATTTTAGCATCTGTTAGCTTACACCAAGTGGTGAATTATCTGTCAGTCCTGGTTGAACTAGATCCACATATTCTTCCCTCATTGAATGCTTCCTAATAGTACCTATCTTTATTCTCTCCTGCTTTCAATTTTATTTGAAACCATGTGTACCTGAATAATCTTCTAGCCTATTAATTATTATGCCAAAATGCAGATCATATATGCAAATCCACTTTCTTGTTATTTCTTGTTGTGGAACTGTTGTTGATATCCCCCAACTATTATGTTATCGCATGTCACCCTGTATCGCATAAAGTTACTTGTTATTGGACACTTCAGTTGGCACCAACACTTAATGTGATTATATATTTTTATTTATAGATATCAATTCCAGCTTGTTCAAATCATGTATATTATGTATCTGCAAGATTTGGATTTGGAGATGATGACTATCTCCACTTGTGAGTTCTTTGTCTCGATTCAAGCTTGTTCAAGGCGATTATGTTGCATTTGTCCTAAGCACACCTAGGCCATGCTCGTCACTTTACATATTTGCATGTAGCATATGCATGAATGTCAGCTATGACTTTTAGTTAATGAAGGTGCAAGAGGCCCACCATTTCTGGAGACCCATTGATTGTATTATGTCTCTGAGACTTCACACAACTTCATATCATGAACTTTCTATTGCAGGTACCAAATACCTGAGGACTGGCCATATCAAGAAGCTCGTCACCTGTTCAAAGAACCTAATGTGATTATGGATGTACCAGAGCTGAAGTGGACTGCTCCAGATGAGGAGGTAACTAACGAAAATAATAAAGGTGCTTCCGATCCATATATTAGACATCTTGGGACAACCTAACCAGGCATTTCTGTTTCTCATACCTAGGGTCTTGTGAACTTTCTGGTGACTGAGAATGGTTTCAACAATGATCGAGTTACAAAGGCATGTATTTTGTGCAGTTTGATCACTACCCACGAAATAGTTTTCGTTGTACTTAGCTATTTGGTGTTTGTATATTTTCTAGGCAGTAGACAAGATTAAAGCAGCCAAGAATAAATCTTCTCAAGGACGGTATGCTTTCTATTACTTTGTTAACTGAAGTTTTATTTTGCTTGTGATCAACGAGAGCACTTTCATTTACTCAGGCTGGAGTCGTTCTTTAAGCCTGTTGTAAGTGCATCTACACCACCTAAAAGAAAGGTCAGTGCCATATCCACCACCTCTCTCCTTGCATCTTTTTCTGGTCTTCATGGCTGTCAAAAGAATGAGTAATAGTTTCTCTTAGTAAATGAGTTATGCTGTGAGTAATTGAAAAAAACTTCAGGAAATCCAGAAGATGGAACATTTACTTGTCTTATGTGACTTTGCCATAACTGTCTTTAAAAGAATCAAGGAAGTCGTGAGTCATAGGTAGTGTGAATTTGCATATTGAATGTGAAGGCCTGTACTGATGCCAATTGTGTATCTGCTGTCAAAGCGGAGTTTGTAAAGAACAAACCCTTGTTTTTCTTTTTCAGGTAACTGACTGACCAGTGAAACCACAAACAAGCTTAGATAAGATATTTAGCCATTATAAACATATGAGATATATCTACATGTTCAGATAACGCACAGAATTGGGACAGCTTAGATGGCCTGGCAAATGGTTACATGCGAATCCATTGTTCTGTTTCTGACTTGATCGATCATTGCAAAATGCTAATTATTGTTCTTAACCTCTTCACAGCATATTTGGGATTGTTCTGCATGTTAATGATAGAAGTACCTTGCTGAGAACATTGCTGAATTTCTTTTGTCAGGTTTTGGAAAAAGTGGCCAAAGAAACTTCGACGAACAAGAAGTCTAAAGCCGTGGGTGCAAAAAAGAAGAAATAATTGGAAAATTCAGTCTGTGCTTAAACATAGCATCTTGTTGACTGAGCTGACGAGAACCATTTTGTTGGTTCGTATTTTGCCGATCCTATCTGCACTACGGTTTGGGCTTTTATGATTCGACTTGGCCGAACCTGTTTTTTAGTAGTTCTTAATGGTAGATGTAGTTATGTTAATTTATTAAATGTGTTTCATGGTTTATTTGTGCTTATTTGCTGGCATCTCTCTTCCGAGCTACGATATCAAGGGACATCAATGGTCAAGTGATCGCCTACATTGCCGAGAGCTGCGGCTAAAAGGTATGCTGCGGTGGCTGGGCCTGTAGGACACCATTCATATTGCCACTTTAGTGCTTAAAAGCATGCAAACTTTTGGGACAATAACTCGATGAGATATTGGTATTGCTTTTTGCTGTCCTTTGGGCAGGAAAATACTATAAAGTTGACTTATGGTGCAAGTAATGTCCTCAAGAAAATACTATAAAGTTGCAAAGAATAAAAACAATTTATCTCTATTTAATTACTAGCCCTGTAAGGCTTTACTTTATATTATTTTCCTCATATTTATTGGACTTGCTTCTATACATAATATATGCAGTTACCTCGAGAAAATAATAGGAGCAGTAGGTTTTCTATAATTAATACTTTCAAGTTCAAGGATTCTTGCATGTCGACGCCTTCCTTCAGTTGTTGTTCAAGTATGTACCAAATTGTTTTAGCAAATGAATATTCCATAAATAAATGTTGCCGTTCATCACTTTCATCTTCACACACAACACACTTCCATTGGAATAATGCCCACTAAACTTAGCATTTCATAAGTAGATAGCCGATTAAAAAACGTCGTCCAATCAAACACGTAAGCCTTAGCTATAACAAGAATATCCCAAAGCTCCAGAGAGACAGAGACATACTGATTCCTCAAATTGATTGATGCACTTTGCATCAACTTTCCAGATGTTTCACCGAGTCATCTTTAGTGAGGCGGTGAACGTAAGCAGATGGAGTTATTATTCTTGAGCCACAAGTAAGGGCCAGAAGTGGAAGTCCCCTACTGCGGTGGGTCCCATTCGCTCCCAACCACGTCATCACATGTTACGCTCCGCTCCTTGATCCTTTTCCCCGTCATCAATCCTTACGCGTACAGTGCGTCTGACGTATGATTTTGTTTTATCTTTAGTATTTGTTTTATTTTTCTTTTACTGCGTTGGCCTCAAGCTAACTCCATAAGCCAAGCAACTTCTCGATCAGAGTGTGTCCTTATGAGTAGTGCTTTTGGAGAGAGAGAGAGAGAGAGAGGGCGGAGAGAGGCCTTCCGACGAAGCGTCAGTGGTGCGCTCACTCCCTCTTCCACCTTTCCGCTTCTGCAGAACTCTAGTCGTTCTTCTTCGATCGAGGAGAGGAGGATTCGTCACCATGTTCGGCTCCACCAACCGTACGCTTCCGATCACGTTCTCTTCTTCCCGTGCTCGTATACGTCCTTTTAGGTCCTTTTTCTCTTCTGATTTTGGGTTCTGTCGGAGGGATTCTGATCGGGTTTCCAAAGATTACGCTACTTGCTCGCACCGACTCGTTCGAACCGGGTCAATGCCACATGATGTGAAGATTTCTTCTCAGAGTGATTCGGTGGGAGGATATCGTTCTTGATCGGTGGTGTTTTCGTGGGCTCGATTTGGTGGTAGTTTGATCGTGTTTTGGTTTGTGTGCCCTTCCATTTCTTTGTAGGGTATGTTTGTAGGGTTCTCTAATTCTTGCTTTAGCTTGTACTGGTATGTCGATGCTCTGTTTGCCAGGCCGCCTTGTTCTCAATAGTTCATATTGTGGCTCGCTTAATCGTCTTTGTGCTTTATTTAGCCTTCAGTTGCAAATTTTATTCTCTCTACCGTGGAGTTGTTTTATCTCTTGTTTTCATTTATGTTGTTATTTCTTCTCTAGTTCTGAAAAAATCATGGTTAATTTGCTGTGCAGCTTTCGCTCAGCCTTCTAGTCCATTTGGTTCCCAGTCAATGTTTGGGCAAACAAGCACCAGTGGCACTAATCCGTTTTCCCCCAAACCGTTTGGAAGTCCAAATCCTTTTGGTTCACAGACAGGGAGTTCGATATTTGGTAGCACATCTACTGGTGTCTTTGGACAGCCTTCTACACCTGCATTTGGTGCTTCTCCGTCTCCGGCTTTTGGGAGTCCCATGCCTGCTTTTGGGGCATCGTCCACTCCTGCATTTGGCAGTTCTTCCTCTTCCTTTGGTGGTGAGTATATCTCGAACAGGCAATTATTAGTGTGGTCATAATCAAATCTTTTGGTATTGGTTATTAACTTTTTGATGCTTTTGATTTAATGCATGGAATCCTTCATAAATTTGTTTTTTACTTGCTAGCTAACTTGGTGTTGTACATGTCAAGTTTAGCAAGTAATTTTCTACATGGTATTCCTAGTGCCTCTTTGGTTCAAGTATCTGAAGAAATAAGTGAGTTATTCTGAGAATAAGCTAATCGATGGTGCTGTTTATATCTGGATGTTCTGGGGAACGAATGGTGATCTTTGTTCTCCATTAGAAGAGGAAAAAGTAATTATGTCATTTAAGAGCATGGTAGTCTGGTTGACTAGGACTCTGTACCAGATGATCCCAGTATTGAATCCTGCAGAAAAAGCTACCTTTGGGAGTTGTTACAAAGTAAATGCTTATTTACTCACTTTTTTCTTTAGCCATTGGGCTTTAAGAATTAGGTCTCCCAGTGCATGCGTGGCTAATATTTCTGCACTAGCTTTTGATAGACTATTTGAAAAAAACATAGCTTCATTCGAAAGGAGAATCTTAGTCTGGAATCTGGACACCTCTAAGGAACGTCAAATTTCATTTATTGTTTCTGGAGTCTCCGTCTTAAGACAGGTCTATGACTAATAAGATATTTGTTTTTAGTTAACAGCTAACACTCTTCATATAAAGATTTGATCTATATATTATGGGAATCTCATTGGTCTCTGTCTGTGCTTGTATTACGTGAATGCCACAGGCTTTGTTATATCATACAGTCTTCATTGGTGAAGTTCTCTTTTATTGCTGCTGATTGGACTGAAAATGTTTATTTGAGTAAGCTGGATTTTATGTGATGTCATCGATCTATTTACAGAGAAGTCTAGGTGAGATGATGATGAGGATCTAGCCTTTTCATGAGCAACTTGTCATGTCCCAGCTCAATGAGAGAATTAATCCATTAATTTTATGAGCCTAGAACCATGTCACTGAAAATGTTAAAGCCTTGTCAATGGTACTAGGTCTGTTTAGCCATAGATACATTTGTGTTCATCCTGACACTTCCAATTTATGATTAAATTGGGATGTCACAACATCCGTCATTTAAGCCTTGATCTCTTGATTAAGCCTAACAAAATCAGTTCTGGTGGGTAGTACATGAGATCCAAAAACTAACTACATGTCATGATATGCTTGTAGCCATGTTAATGATTAGTCCTTTGTCTATTTGGATCACCTAATCATCCTAGTGCTAGGTGCTCTGGTACCCATTTTGACAACGCAGCTAAATGCGAGAGAATTGACTCATTAACTTGATGAGCCTAGAACCATATGATCCAAAATGTACATATGCTGGTGTTAATGATAGTAATCTCATATAGTACGGTATACAACCATGTTCATCCTTTCACTTCAATGCGAGACTAGATCAGGGTGGGACTAAACCAGGGTGTCACACAACTAATTTCTTAGTCTTCAACAAGGCCTTGTACTGATTAATACTTTACTGGGAATACTATGTTTGGAGGATTGGTGCCTAGGTTATAACTCCATGAAAGTTCTGCACAATCTTAGTTTTGTTGATTTGGAGTTTTACCACATAACTGAGCATGCATTTGTGGAAGACTCTTGGGTGGAAATATTTGGCAGGAAGATCCAATGGATTCTCTTTAGATGACTGCTTTTATATTGATGATCTTTTATGTAAATACGTTGTAGCTGATTTGATACCACGGATTTTCATTGCAAGTCCTGTTAAATCTATACTCTTATATGTTATAGCCGGATACTTTCCAATTCATTTCATAGTGTGCCCTGTCAATACTGTCAGATATTTGTGTGCCATGTTCTCTGATATGAATCACAGTGCTTACAAGTGATAGGGTTTAATTATTTGCTTTTCTATTATTGTTCTGTGACTCTGTCGCAGGTCCTTCTTTGTTTGGGCAGAAGCCAGCTTTTGGGAGCTTTGGGTCATCTTCCAGTCTATCAAGTCCTTTTGGTAGTACATTTCAGCAGACACAACCAGCATATGGGAGCAACCTCTTTGGTTCTACCTCACCATTTGGTGCCTCTAGTCAACCTGCATTTGGTGCTACTACTACCCCAGCTTTTGGCTCTGTGACCACCCCTTCTTTTGGTGCCACAACTTCACCAGCATTTGGTGCCCCAAGCATGCCCGCATTTGGTACTACAACTCCTTCATTTGGCTCAACATCGGCACCACTTTTTGGTACCACAGGAACTTCTTTTGGGGCTTCAAGTTCCCCAGCGTTTGGTTCAACAATGACACCATCTTTTGGAACTCCAACGACCCCTGTGTTTGGATCTTCAAGTACACCAGCATTTGGTGCATCTACTGCTCCCACGTTTGGGTCTCCTACGGTTTCTGCTTTTGGTGTATCAAGTGCTCCTTCTTTCAGTTTTGGTTCCACCGCTTCCTTTGGCCAGTCAGCATCTGCATTTGGAAGTACACCATTTGGAGTGTCACCATCTCCTTTTGGTGTTCAGAGTTCCCCATTTGGTAATTCATTTTTTCCTTCTATCCAAAAAAATTATACTCCTTGAGGTCAGAATAACCTGAAAAGCATGTCTGTGTAGTAATTATTTTGAATTTCTTGTTTATATCCTATAGTGCTCTGGAGTACGTTTTTGAATAGAAGTGTACTCATTTATCAAAGCCCTTCTCTTGCTCACCCTTTTGGATCCCTTCCTATTGGTATTCTTATCACTATTCTGAATTTTGTTCTCCCCTCTTGTGCTAATCTTTTGCAGGTGCTCAGGCGATGACACCAACATTTGGTAGCCCAGGTTTTGGACAGTCAGCATTTGGGGTTCAACCTGGAGGAACAAGAGTTGCAGCATACAGTCCAACACCTGACATTGATGGTGGCACTGGTAGTCAGCCTGCTGGCAAGCTGGAATCAGTATCGGCGATGCCTGCATATAAAGATAAGAGTCAAGAGGAATTACGATGGGAAGACTATCAACGTGGTGACAAAGGTAAGAACTAACCCTTTCAATGTGACTCTTTTCTCTGGGTATGGCGAACTTGCATAACTTCTATATTTGTCTGTTAGTAAAGCTAATATTTCTTTTTTCATATTATTGCACAACTCCAAAGTTCATGTTAACCGGGTGATATCTTTTTCTTCTGAAAACGGCAGAATAAGTGAGGTTCTGAATCTGTTTAAACAAAAAATTCTAAAGCTGAAAGTTCTGTAGGTAGCGCGACAACCCTAATTTGGCATGTAGATCGATTGTTTCCTTGTTTCCTGAGGCAAAAAAATTAGCATTTTGTGGCTGAAACTTTTGTTTCCTCGTGAGAATTTGGCTTTATGTATCTTTCTCTGGTAATTGTATGTCCTAAAGCATTCTTCATCCTGGTTGGGGCTATTCTCCATAACTATTGTTCTTCATTGTCTTAATGTTTATTTCTTTTCCCACAATTTTCTGCTTCTACTATTGACTTGGTCTTTTTTGTTTGTGATCTTATAGGGGGCCCAAATCCTTCTGGACAGCCTGTAGGGCCACTCAGTTTTTCTTCTCCATCTCAACCCAGCCCTTTTGGTTCAACCGGTGCATTTCACCAATCTGCTGCAAACCCCTTTTCCTCCACAGCACCTTCCAATCCTTTTGTTATTAAACCTCCTAGTTTTGCTTCATCTGGATTTGGTTCTACATCTACTTCACTTTTTAGCTCACCATTCACTACATCCTCATCAAGCCCTTTTGGTTCCACTTCTTCCACGGCTTCACTGTTTGGTGCCCCTACTGGTTCTGCATTTGGTGCAAGTTCAGCATCCTCACCTTTTGGTGGAGCAACAACTTCTGCCTTTGGTTCAACTTCACTTTTTGGCTCCTCATTATCAGGGTCAACTTCTGCTTTTGGGACCGGCCTGGCCTTTGGCAACACTCAACCGTCTGGGTTATTCCAGTCTTCTGTTTCACCCTTTGGTCAGACATCATCACCTTTTGGGCCAAGTACTGGATTTCAGCAAACCTCCTCTGCTTTTGGATCAAATCTTTTCAGCACTCAATCCACTGGTTTTGGGGGGAGTTTATTCAGCAGTTCAACACCGTCACTGTTTCCTTCAAGCACTCCTGCTGGATTTGGTCAAACAGCTGTAAGTAATATTCAAGTTATGCTGGCTTGGTCAGATTTTGATATACATATTACATATACATGTATGCTTACATGTAATAAATTTTTATACCTGACTGGCTTGCATTCTTCTGTAGTTGAACTTACTGCTTGTCTTTTACAGCCTTCTCTGCAGACACCTTTTCAATCGGTACCGGTAGCTCCGACATCAAGTTCATTTTCTTTTGCCAACTTTGGTCAGGCATATCCAAGTATGTTTGATGAGTTTTTCTTCTACTTGTTTTTGTTATGTATTACATCTTTTTTCTTCTTTCTGGCATTTCAGCCTCTTCTGGTGGCTTTGGTGGCATTTCAAATATCTTCAATCAAGGCATCTTTGGACAGTCGTATGTTCCTTTTCTTCTGCTGTTCTTTTTTCTCCTCAGATTACCGCTTTGTTATTGTTGTATTTAGTTTTTAGTTGCCATTCCCATGTAATTATGACTGTTTTGGTTCTTTATTCAAGAGTTTCTAGAATGGTACTAAGTAAAAGTGAATAGTAGCATATTGTGGTAAAATATGCTGTTAGCTGTTCTGAACATCTCTTATATATTGTTTACTACATTGGAAGTGAGAGTACCGGACAACAGTTCACTTATCCTATCTTTTGTTTCAAATGCTCAAGCTAGTATGTGATGTTTAGTTGTTATCCAGTAAGGCAAATGAACAACCTGTGGGATGTTTTTTTTTTAAGGGACAGTATGTAAGGCTTCATGAAAATGCTGCTATTAGTCCTGTCTTATTTCCTAAGTACATGTTTTGACCTTTTCTGTCTATATCCTGTTCTTTGTCTATGAACCAGTGCTTCTAGTCAATCCAATATGGTCATGCAACCAGCACCTGTTGCAAATCCTTTCGGAACACTTCCAGCAATGCCTCAGATGTCAATTGGTCGTTTGGGCTCCACCCCTTCAATTCAATATGGAATTTCTAGCATGCCTGTAAGTTTTTTTTTCCAAGACAGGGAACACTGTAGGAAAGTACCAGAATCTTTCTTGTGATTGTACATGCTGTGATTTTATCATTGATTTGTGCTGTTATCATATATCATGCTTCAGAGATTCATTATGTGAATTTTAAGTTATTAACAACTTCTTTGCTGTTAACAGGTTGCCGATAAGCCTCTTCCAGTAAGAACTTCTCCATTGGTGGTTCCTAGACACAGATCTCAAAGAAGCATTAGGCTACCTCCAAGGAAATATTCTCCTAAAACTGATGGCCCAAGGGTGAGAGATTGATATTGGGACAACTTACAACAATAATAATTTGGTTATAAGATTTTCAACAAAAAGAATTATTTGGTTATGAGTTAATGAAATGTAAGTTTGAAAGATGTCCTGCATTATATTAATCATTTTTCCTGAGGAAAAGTCACTATTTTTCTAATAGCAGGTGCCTTTTTTTTCTGATGATGAAGACACACTTTCAACACCCAAGGCAGATGCACTTTTCATTCCCAGAGAAAACCCTAGGTCACTGATTATTCACCCAAAGGAGCAATGGCCTTCACGAAGTAGTTTGGGAAAAGAAAGTATCTTAAAAGGTGGACCGACTAATACTGCTAATGAAAATGGTAAAATATTTCCCGCTCAGGATGCATTAACCACCTGATTACTTTGAATTCGCAATAAGATTTTTCTGCAGAAATTTTTAACATTATACACTATTTTAATAGTGTCCGATATATTGTATGGTACAGTTGGTTTGATTTGTTCTCATTAAGTTGGTTATAATACCTTTTTTTGAGGTAAAAAAGGAGGATTAGTATTTATTCATTATGGTATTATTAGAGTGTCTAACCTTAGTGATTCTTGGATATATAAGAGCAATTTGCTGTAATTGCCATTTGAGCCGTCACTTGGATAGTATGCAAATGCATACACCATTTCATTTTGCATTACTTGTTATGATTGACTTTTGACTTATTTTTCCTTACAACGTAAAAGCATGATTAATGAAATTTGAAGGAAGAAATTACGAGCTGATGCTAAGCTGATCAACAACACATTCAATTGTAGAAGAGTATAAGATTATAGGCTCACATGTGCAGCAACCAACTGGCTCATGTAAAGAAGAAAACAAGTTCAGCGATACATTAGCAATTTGGGTGCTTTGGAGTGTTCTGTGATGACCTTATTTTCATTGAAGGTCCGTGTGCTTTTAGGGTTCCCTAGAATCTTTATACAGGTTTTAGAGTGACCACTGACCAGGATCTCCTTTGTGCTTATGTCCAGAAACTGGAAACAAGGTGCAGATGTGAGTCAGAAAGGAACTAATCCAATAACTTGCAGACCAGAAATGAACTGGTCTACAAAACTATAAGGCCTTGAAACTGGAGTTACATATGGCAACTAGCAAGAAAACTGAAATTGTTTCCCTTGTAATTTTCTTGGGATTGTACTACTAAAAAGTTCGACTGTAAGCATGTTCTAGGGTGAAAAAGGATTTGGAACTTGCAGGAGTAAGAAAAACAAGGACCATGTCGATTGGTCAGTCTCTGAATCTTTTGTCCTCTAAAGCTACGAAAAATAGATTTTAACGCATAGGGGATACTTATCTTTTCTTCAGCAAAAGTATAAAACTTTAAACGAGAACTATTGCATGCATTTTCACAAAATTTGTATTGCACAGTTAATGGCTGAAGCTAGCATAACTTTCTCAAAGTACAATCCTAACTTTTTTTTATGGGCCACCTTATCCCTCTTGATAAAATTGTTTCTGTAAGTTGTGTCCTATCTTCCTATCTTAAGTGTTTCCAAAGGTTACAGATCAGGATGGTTAAGTGCCTGAAAGAGGCCATCTTCGTTAAAATTGTACCCAATTGTTATTGTTGCTTTTGCTGTAAAAAGTGACTGAAAGTAGTTGGATGTGAAATAATTCCTCGCTCTTTTGGGTGATACTAGTCTTTATAGCGCAAAATCATTTTCGTTGATGAAGTAGTAGTAGAAGCATCATTTGATGTGAGATGCTCCCTAGACATATTTTTATTTAATACTATCTTTTCCTTCTTAGTGGTAAAGAGGTAAAACAGAAGGCAAGTAATGACAGTTATTTTTAACATTGTGTGTACAACATTTAATAAGCCTCGTGATCAAAGTTTCTGTGCAAGAAAATTGTGATATTGATCCAATAAATTCGACATTGAGAATTCTTGTGGCCTAAAAGTTTGTGGATCGATCAGACTCAGTTGTAACTCATGGCTAATCCTGGTCGACTCCAGGCAGTCACAGTGATCTTAGCCTGGATTAATCCTTACTGATTTGAAAACTTTCCACTCATATCCAGTCAGACACAATGGATATTGACCACCTGTGGGCTTACAGCCCACACAGTGGCAAGATGATGGTGTGATCTTCGGATTTTCTAGTTGGTCTTCATTGTAAATTTCCAAATTAAATTCCATTGATTTTCCTCTACTGCATCTTCAATGGATCTCTCTAGCGCACCAGCAATATTTACAATTGTTTCTTACATGTCAATGGCTTCATATGCTGTACATATTAGGGTTTAATATTTATAAGTTAATCTAGCAACAATTCATTTTTCATATTTTCGCTAAAGAAGTTATTTGATCTTTAGACCTATAAGTTCTTCTAACATTTACATAATCTGGAAAGATTTCTTGTGGAGAACATTTAAGATATTTTGCATTATTTTAAGTACTATGCTATGATAGAGAAGCTTCTGTTCTTAATAAGGGAAACCATAGAAAATGTAGTCTTAACTAAACTGTTTAAAGGATATAAATGATGTCTGTGATTAGATTGTTGTGGTATCCGGTGGTCTAGTAAGTCGATGGCGACGGTGACATCTAGTTGACTTTGTGGCGAACATTAGAAACCCAATGATGATGCTGGGCAGAGTAAGTCTGGCCTATCTACAGTTCTGTACAAGGCACTTCTGTGAATCAGTGCAATGATGACTTCTTATTTAATTTATTAGATGAAGATCGCAAATATTCTTTCTTTTGAAACTAGGATGGATCCAATATGTCAGGTGCAAAAGGGATCTCATATCATTTTCTTGAAGCAGGATGAGTCTAAAAATATAGTGCTGTTGTGAGGGGGCATGTTGGGACCATCATCCTTGCATGCTAATGCTTATTCAAGGAGAAGATTTTATCTTGGATTTCTTTGTTCATTCTGTTGCAGAGTTTCAATTTCGAGTCTAGTTATTGGTGAGATAATGATATGTTAGGTAGTTAACATACCTTTGCTTGGAACTTTTGTCTTACATGATATCAAATTTGAAGATGTATTGTGTAACTTCAGTGCTCACTGTGAGTGAGTTGTTTCCTTGTCCTGGATCTTTGTAATTTCTATCAAGTGATTCTTTAAATAAATATTAGTCTTGCACATCAGAAGTGTTCCATCAAATTCATTTCACTAATACTATTTGCTGAATGTTTGGTCACTCTCTATGTTGCTCCAACTTGAATATTTTTTCTGTTTGGTTGTAATAGCCTTGATTCATTTTGTTACTCCAACCATGTGTAACGATGATTCTTTCTTCAGGTAATGTATCAGAAAAGCCATTTGCTCCAACTTTTAAAGAACCATATGCAGGTGACAATGATGGTAAGTTCATTTCATCTATTTGTCTTTTTTGAGAGACTATTGGAAATTCCTGTCTTCAGCAGAAAAGGAAGTTCCTTATTACTAGTATCAAACAGGCATTACAGATGTTTCTGTTTGAATTCCTCAATGGTTGGAGAGCTTAGTTGTAAATTGTGTGGGTTTAAATGTAGTTTGTGTATATTTGATAATATATAGGGCCTTATTTTTGACTTGTCATCTTTTTTATGCTGATTGAAGGCAATTAATATAGTGCTAGTGATTATTTTTGTGGTACCAATTGCCATGATCTGATAATACCTGCTAGACCAATAAAGCACAGATTAATCTTTAGTCACATGATCCAAAATGATTAATCAATTACTAGTAGTACTCCCAAGTCCCAACTAGGTTCGTACATTATTCTTAGCCTAGCATCTCTAGATGATTAATCAGGTCACCAACAAATTAATAATCTGGATGTATGCAGTTCAATTAAAAACAAATCTTGAGTGGACTTTTTCTTTAGTTGTCTTGGATAGATTTATTGATAGTTTTCTTTGACTAGTCCTAGTATTATATACCTTCCTTAAAACTTCTCTTTTGGGGTGAATTATTAAGATAACTATTTTCAGATTCTCATTTCTCACTTGCATTTAAAATGACGCAGAACGTGGTGCTGAGAACGGTCACACAAGGGAGCAAATTGACACGGTTATGCCACTTACAGAGCCTTTGCATGAGACAAATAGAACCGATGATGATCAGCTGCCGAAGGGAACAGACTCTTCATATGTGAAAATATATGGGCAGAGGCCTGGTGAGGCTGCAACTGCATACAAGCACGATGCAGGCATAGAAGCTCTCATGCCCAAACTTCGCCATGCTGATTACTATACCGAACCTAGCATCCAGGAACTGGCTGCAAAAGAGCTTGCAGAACCAGGCTTCTACTGCCATGTCAGAGATTTTGTGGTTGGCAGGCACGGGTATGGCAGCATCAAGTTTTATGGAGAAACCGACGTAAGACAGCTTGACTTGGAGTCAATCATCCAGTTCAACAACCGTGAAGTGATTGTTTACGGTGATGACAGCATGAAGCCTCCAGTTGGGCAGGGTCTTAACAAGCCGGCTGAGATAACTCTTTTGAATGTCAAGTGCATGAACAAGAGGACAGGGCAGCAGTATACAGAAGGCCCCAAGGTCGAGAAGTACAAGGAGATGTTGACACAGAAAACTCAAGAACAGGGGGCCGAGTTCATATCGTTTGTTCCTATCAAGGGGGAGTGGAAGTTCAAGGTCATTCACTTCAGCTGTTACGGGTTTTTGGTAGATACCGAGATATGTAGGAATCGTGCAGGTCGTTCCTAGCCTCGTTTTCTACATTTTCTTGCCAAAGTGAAAGCTTTCTGTGGATAAACATGTATGACTAGGAGATAGCTTAGTTTATTGTCCATAATTATACTCCTTTGTAGTTTATTGTCCATAATTCTACTCCTTTGTATCGCCTTTGTGTATAGGCTCCTCTTTGATGCATGTGTGTCCAGGTTAACCTGCTCGTTTTGGAATCACCCTACTGTGACACAGCCATCAACTGAGATCTGTGTGCTATGCACGCAAATACTATTTTGGAATTTGCTCCTCTCTTATGTATGTATGTATGTATGCATTCTCACTTTGGTAATGCACAAGGCATCAGATTAAAGATCTGTATTATAAGATATGAACATAAAGATGAATTGATTAATACTAAGGATGTGGAGTGAGATAAAAGAAATATTGATATATTTTATTGAAAATAGTGAATGTTTTAAAGGGTGAATTTTTTAGAAAAACCTCTACGTTTAAGAATTTTTCAGCCAGTGTCTCAAGTTATAAAAAAATCTTATTGTATCATAGTCATGTGAAAAGATTATTTTATTTATAATAAATTTTTATTTTTTTTATTTTTGAACTTATCGTTACTTTCGTCAACTCATCTTCATTCTGTACCATCACACGTAGCTCTTGTCGCATCACTCGTAACTCTGGTAATCCATTTTTTACCCCATGGTTGGTTGTCCTTTTAGCCCACATCCCTCGTGTGGGGCCTATTGTTTGTCGCTAGCACTCTTAACTCTCTTTTCCACTCTTAACCCTCTTCTTATTGTTGATCCCCTGTAAGGAAGAAAGAGAGGTAACTCGTCCTCACCCATGATCTCCATCGTTGGTCATAGAGGCTACGTCTCTATTATGGGTCTAATGACCCATGTAAGAAAGAAAGAGAGGTAACTCGTCCTCACCCATGATCTCCATCGTTGGCCATAGAGGCTACGCCTCTATTATGGGTCTAACGAGGGTCATTGCACCTCTATCAATGGGTGGCTTTACGACCAACAAGACAGAGGCACAACTAAGGGTTGGGCGGAGGCCAAAGGATGGTGATTGACAATAGTAGAATGATCATTTTGAGAAAGGGGTGCTATGCCAAAATTTTTCAGCCCGGGGAACAATTCTCAAACTTAAGTATTTTTTCGAAAATTTACCCTTTTTAAAATATTTATTATGATTTAAAAAAAATCGTATAGCCAATCTCTTGGTTGAGATGGTATGGCTTATTGTGGTTGTACTTCATGAGAATCGGATCTGAGACAAATCGGACTGCGTTGGATCCGATCCGTTTAATGGCCTCTTACGTCGGTTTTGGTACCCACGGATTTGATCCCGCGTAAAGCTGGCGCAGCGATAAAAAATTTAGCCGTCAGTGTGGAAAAAGTTAGCGTTGGCTTCAGCCACAACCCTAATTCCCATCGAAGCCAGCGGCGGGAAGAAGATCAGCACACCTTCTCTGACTAGCAATGGAGCCGAGCGTGGCGTTCGCCGCCGACAGCCCGCCGTTGTCCGTCATCGCCGCTGCGAGAGTCGCCGGCGTCGCTCTCTCAACGGACCCCTCCCTCCCTTCCGGCTCCGACCCCGTCCTCCGCCTCGCGTCCGGGTAAGAACTTTACCTCCCTCCTGCTGCTCTGTCGTTCTTGGATGGTCTCATGCTTAGGATCCCTTCGGCGAATGCGGAAAATCTTGTTGTTGATTCCGATTCTCTGCTGTGTACAGTCTAATTATTGGCGTGCAAATGAAGTCAATCAAACATAGATCTTGTCGTCTGCGGATAAACTTTGCCGTCGAAGAATGCGGCGATTCTATTTTCTGTTCCTGCTAGATCTCTGTATAGAAAACACTGTAATTTTGATTTTGCTTGACGGTTTTTGCTGGTCATTGAGTGTATAGGTTATGTTCCTACGGAATTTTTTATTTTTCTTACTCAACGGGTATGCGTGTTACCGAATCCCAATTCTTTTGGCTTCCTTTGCGGATTCTCTAATCTCACCTTTTCTTTCTTTCTTTTGTTTTCTTTTCTGCTCTTCTATGCTGGTCTTGGGTGGAAATACCAATTGAATCATTGTGATCTTTAAATAAAAAAAAGACAAAACAAGAAAATTATTATTTATTAAAATGAGCGAACATTACTATTAAATTATGCATTCACTTTAATAAAAACATAATTATTAATTTAAGAATATTGTGAGTTACTAAATCTTAAAACTTTATTTATAAATTTTAATAGTTGCATATACGTATCATAAGATTCAATTTTTATAAATTATAGGATATCTGACTTTGCAACCCCTTTTATGATCCTAGGTAGGTAAGCGAGTTTGATATTTGATAACTTCTGCTTTTGGATATCTTTGGTTTCTAAGTCACTTTATATACCTAACTTTTTATGGTTTGCTTGATGATACAGAGAGACCTTGCAGGGTACTAACTCTCTCCTGCGCTATATTGGGCAATTTGCAGCTCTTCCTAATTTCTTTGGGCAGGATGCATTTGAAGAAGAGCAGGTATTAACACCATGGCTTAGTGTTTGCTTTTGAGGCATTTTTGCTTCTTGGATCACTGAAGATGCATGACCAACTGTCCATCGGTGTTTTTGACAGATTAATAAATGGCTCGAGTTTTCTTCAACCTTTCTATCAGGCTCTGAATTTGAGAATGCTTGTGCGCATGTTGATGGACATCTAACTTTCCGAACCTTGTTGGTCGGTTTTAATTTGTCCATTGCTGACATTGCAATATGGTCTGCTCTTGCAGGTAGTATCTTAACTTCTGCTACTTGTTCTATTTTTTTCATGTGTATGCCTTATATTTCACAGACAACCTTTCTGCTTGCAGTGGTAAGGCTGCATATATTGACCCTTCTGATGTTCTGCATTAGCATGAGCCTTGTGCATGATGCTGCTTTTTCTTTTTTATACATCTTATATTTCTAATATTAGTCTATTATTGGATTCTTATTGATATTTTTTATATCATGATACTACCTCCTATCACCATAGGCACTGGGCAGAGGTGGGAAAGCCTTAGAAAATCTAAAAGGTATCAAAATTTAGTTCGTTGGTTCAATTCCATATTAACAGAACATGGAGATGCTCTGAATGAAGTCACTGCTGCATATGTTGGGAAAAGAGGATTAGGTAAGTTTCCTGTAGGTAACACTAAGGGAATAGTAAGCAGTGGCAGTTCCAAAGAAACAAATGTGCGGTCTCTGCCAAAGGAAACTGCTGGTGGCTTTGAAGTAGATCTTCCTGGTGCAAAAGTTGGGGATGTGTGCTTGCGGTTTGCCCCAGAGCCTAGTGGGTATCTCCACATTGGGCACTCAAAGGCAGCTCTGCTGAACAAGTACTTTGCTGAGAGATACCAAGGACGGCTAATAATTCGCTTTGATGACACAAACCCATCAAAAGAAAGTAATGAGTTTGTTGATAATGTGCTGAAAGACATTGAGACAATGGGCATCAAGTCTGAAAAGGTTACTTACACATCAGATTACTTTGAGGATTTGATGAAAATGGCTGAAAAGTTGATATTGGAAGGAAAAGCTTATGTTGATGATACACCAAGGGAGCAGATGCAAAAGGAGAGGATGGATGGGATTGAGTCAAGATGTCGGAACAACTCTGTTGATGTGAATCTTGCATTGTGGAAAGAGATGATTGCCGGGTCTGAGAGAGGTCTGCAATGTTGTGTAAGGGGTAAGCTGGACATGCAGGATCCTAATAAGTCCCTTCGAGATCCTGTTTATTATCGCTGCAACCTGGTTTCTCACCACCGTATCGGGTCTAAGTATAAGGTCTATCCGACATATGACTTTGCTTGTCCATATGTTGATTCTATTGAGGGCATTACTCATGCTCTTCGATCAAGTGAATATCATGATCGCAATGCACAGTATTACCGTATTCTTGAGGATATGGGCCTGCGAAATGTCCAAATATATGAGTTTAGCCGATTGAATATGGTATATACACTTCTTAGCAAGAGAAAACTTCTTTGGTTTGTCCAAAATGGTAAAGTCGATGGATGGGATGATCCTCGCTTCCCAACCATCCAGGGCATTGTACGTAGAGGCTTGAAGGTTGAGGCACTAGTACAATTCATTCTTCAACAGGTCAGTTGCATCATAATTCCCTTAACCTGTTGTCCTATGAAACATATTGATTTCATTATTTATGCTTAGCATTTCCTTTTGTGCAGGGTGCTTCTAAGAACCTGAACCTAATGGAATGGGACAAATTGTGGACCATCAATAAGAAGATAATTGATCCCATATGTCCAAGGCATACAGCTGTCCTTGAGGAACGACGTGTAATATTAATCCTTGAAAATGGGCCCGAGAAGCCCTTTGTTAGGATTGTGCCTAGGCATAAGAAATATGAACCTGCTGGCCAAAAGGCTACAACGTATACAAAGAGAATATGGTTAGACTATGCTGATGCTTCATCAATTACAGAGGGTGAAGAGGTCACGTTAATGGACTGGGGAAATGCTATTGTAAAAGAAATCAAGAAAGAAGATGGAATTATAACCCAATTGGTTGGTGTTCTCCATCCTGAAGGTTCTGTTAAAGCAACAAAATTGAAGCTTACATGGCTTCCTGAAATTGAGGAGTTGGTTCATCTTGCACTGGTTGAATTTGACTACCTAATAAAGAAGAAGAAGGTAAGTTGCTACTGTTTCCAAGTTAACATGCTTGATTTTTTCTTTTTATGACTATTTGTTCATTTATCATCATACTTAATTTCGTCATACCTAGAAGGTCAATATTTCCTCTCATCTATATCTTCTGATATATTACCGAGTTATTCATTTAGTAACCACAAGATCAATTGCTTCCCATTCTGGCTAAGCATGTTTTCTATAAGATGCCACTGAAATTTCCACTTGACATAGTGACCTTTTTTATATGATTTCATCATGTGTATCAGGCAATTCCAAACTCTTGTTATTTATGAGTTCACTTGGCAGTCTATGCATATAATTAGGTTGGGAACTGAAATTTAATGTTCTTAAAGTGAGTTCTATATAATCAATTCAAAGGGCGAGAACTGCACACTAAGAATTCAAAGATCCTCCCTGTTTTTTTTGTAGAATTAGAAAATCGGTATCTTTCCAGCATCTGAAGTATAGTAGAACAGTAAGTATTTTGTTTGTTAATGCATTTTATATTTAATTATGTGATCGAACATGAGAAAGAAACTATACAAACACTGAATAATCTTAAAGGGGTATTGTCTATTAATAGAACTTGGGAAGTGAACCAGTGTTTTTCTGATGGGAGAGTGGTGGCCTTTAAATATTTGGAAATTGATCTTAACCTGTCAAAAAAGATTGCAGTTTTGAAGAGCGGTTCATACATCCACTTATGCGCCCGCATCTGCAGGTGCAGTCGATGGCTTACACCCCATCGACTGTTCATGTTCATGTTACAAAAAAAAAGAATTGTAAATAGACCTCATTGTTTTAACATCCTAATGCCTGTGGAGTATGACATTTTTCTTGTGGCATTTGAAAAACTGTTGATTGATTTGGTGGAACTACAGCTTGAAGAAGGGGAAGACTTTCTTGATAACTTAAATCCTTGCACAAGATGGGAAATCCCAGCCCTGGGTGATGCCAACATGCGGAACCTGAAACAGGGTGAGGTAATACAGCTTGAAAGGAAAGGCTACTACAGATGCGACGTGCCATTCTTAAGGCCTTCAAAGCCGATTGTGCTGTTTGCGATCCCAGATGGAAGGCAGCAGGCATCCTAAACTCAGAGCCACCGAAGCAGCTATTGGTCCAATTTATGCCCGTGTTTGAATTTGGATCAGTATTTTTGTTTATGGTTCGTTTGGACATCAGGAATGAGACTTCCTCTCCTTTACATCCCATTTTGGGCTTATCCAATGCAAAAGTTGATGACTGAAACAATCCTTAAGATCTTTGAAAATCCATACTTACACATGTGATGTGTACTGAGAAAAATGTGAAGTCCCAGCGTGCTTGCTGTAGTTGATCATGATATCCTGCATGAGTTGGATAAAAATATCTCATACAGCCGGAATAAAACTTCATCAACAACATTTCTGCATGGGAAATGTTATAGCTCTGTTACTCACTTGACATCTTTATAGATACATTTTGGAAGCTACGACCACAAATCCATGGTATTTGCGAACAGTTCATTTGTCAACTCCCTTTCTATTAAGATTCTTAGTCACTTGCAGATGTCTTGCATAAAAGAGCAGCTATTTTCCTAACTTCTCACTGAAACTTCTGCAATATTCTTATACAGGTAAAACAACCACCATTAGTAGCAATTACAAACTTCCCCATTCCACTTCATCAAAGTGGGCAAATGTTATTCAGATCTTTTAAAGAGAATTAATTATTGTAGTAATAATTTCAGATGGAGATTATTTTGACTTTTTTAAACAGGATTACTTGATTCTTCTTGTAATAAAATAATCAAACAAGTTAATTGTTCTACAATGAGAAAATACTTTCTACAAGCATTTGCCAACAGCTCATTCCCTTGATATAATCAAATTCTCCTTTCAACATTATATAATTAATTTATCATAAAAATCATCATTGTTATTTATTTTTAAATTTAAATATAATTTTGAAGTGGGACAAAAAAGGAAGAGGGCAAAATAGAAATTACAAACTAATTAATTATATAGATTTTTTATTGCGAGGAATCCTTATCCCTCCTCCTTAGTTTGTAATAGATTTTTTATTACAAACTAATTAATTATATAGAAATTAGGGTTTTCATCGTCCTCCTTTCAAGCTAGACATTTTTAGTATCATGGTTCTTAGACTTAAAAAATTTACATTGAAATCCATATAATTATGAAAATAATCATTTAACCTCATTTATCCTAACGTCGTCGGTTTTATGGAAGATACAATATGTGGCATCGTGGATGGTGGTTGTGGTGGTAGTCGATGGCAATGAAGCGATGGTTGGCCTTGTCGATGTCAATCGGAATATCGATGACGAAGAGGAAGATGAGACATTTACATTAGCACCAGAGAAGAAAGAGGAGGAAGGTCAGGCATTTACATCGATGCCACACCACTTTACCTCCTCTTGCTCCTCCGAGGCCACTCTGCATTTGCGTCAATGTCGGAGGAGGAAGAGGAGGCACGTGAGGCATCTATGCCACTGGCAACGATGAGGGAGAAGGAAGAGGAGGTAGATGGGGTATTTGCTTAACACCATGCTCAAATCCTCAGATTGTCACTTCGTCCAGTGGCATAGTGGATTCGAGAAAAGGATGGTGGGCGACAAGAAGGAGAGAGAGGTTGTGAGCGAGGTCGGTGAAGAGGAACACTTGCTTCGAGCTCTCAGGCTTTAGCCGACACATTCGCCTCGACCATAGAGGCATGGTCGCTAACTTGCTTCTAGATCAATTCCACCCGCAATTAGAGGGGATCTAATCAGATGAAAAATGGAGGCTCGAATAATACAAATCTGATGATGGTAGAGACAACAAACCCTCATGCTCCTTCCCGCTCACCTCCGATACCGTAATGGTGGGGGAGAATATCAGAAAGATGGCGATGACAGATACGACGAGTGAGATAACGAAGAAACGATGGGATCATTATGGTTAGCCTTTGAATTGAGAATTATCATTTTGGCTAGGGTTTTGAGATTGATCGTTGATATCCACTTTACCTCACTTGCCTCCTCTTCCTCCTCCCTCCTCGTCGTTGGAGACGTAGATGTCACACCTACCTTTTCTTCCTCCTTCGGCTTTGACACAAATGCAGAACAATTTCAGAGGAGGTAGAGTGGTGTAACACCAACACAGATGCCTCATCTCCCTCCTCTTCTTCCTCCTCTTCCTTCTTGTCATCGATATTTGAATCGACATCGGCAAGGTCGACAACCACGTCATCATCGATCACCATTACAATAGTCACCCACGAATTCGTCATCCTCCTTAAAATTATCTTTTTACTCATTTTATGATAAATAAAATTATATATTTTATTTTTATAATTATAAAATTTTAATATAAAATTTTTAAATATAGAATAAAATAGGTGTAAGCTGTCGGCTGTAATGTGTAACTCCTCCCTCTTCGTTCTCGCTCGCTTTCTCCCGATAGAGTGACGTGAGAACAAAATGCTGGCGAGCAGCGCTCCTCCTCCTCCCCTTCTCCTCCTCTCTCCAAAGCCCTTTACTTCCTCCTCTTCTTTCTCCGACTCGGCGCCTCCTCGCCCTCCGCTGCTGATGTGGCTTCTCCTTCGAACACGCCCCTCAAGGGGAGAGGGATGCGTCGCCGGTGGTGGCTGCGGCGTCTGGCTGCCGCGGCTACTAGCGCATCCCCATGGAGACGGCCGGCCCTTACCGCCTGGTCGACAGAGAGACTGGGGAGAAGTTCATCGTCTGGGAAGGCTCCGATGACAACAACGATGCCGACACCCCCATCCCCTCTGCGGAGGTCCTCTCTTGGAAACCCCCTGTCGCCGACGATCGACAGGAAAGTGAGCAATCCTTGTCCTCTCCTCCGCTTGTAACCTTCGTGGATTACAATTCCATTCATGAGGCAGAAACCCAACCTCACGTTCTAAAGAACGCGGTAATGAGTTGGTAAAAAACCCAACATGCGATTTAATTTTTCCTTTTGTTGAGACATACACATTGTTGAGCTGGTCATGATTGGTGAGGACAGGTTGATGGTTGCTGCTTCTTCATTAAGGGCTGGTCTTCATACTATGAGATGTTTTATCCTGATTCTTTCTTATCAATCGTCTCCTAAGGTTGCAGAGGTTTTTTCATACCACAGGAGTTGATGTGAGTCGGCTTGCATTACCGCTCGGTACGCAGTCCAATAGAAGACCAATATAGGCGGTACATTGGTATATCTTTATATATCATGTGTTTGGTATCTTTGATACAACTCAGTACGTATTGTACCAACAGCTGATCGGTACACTGGTACGGACCGGTAAGATGAACCATAGATGTGAATGAAGAGAGTTGCGCCTGCTGGTGGATCTCTTCGAGGTTTCGGAAGGCTGAAAGGCACAGAATCTGAAATCCTTGATAAAGGAAACCTCCAAAAATTATATGGAATATTCTCAAATTGGAAGTGCCACGATTGCTGGAGATTCATCTTCAAGTGATGCCAATCGAATAGATTCATTTGGTTCTGGCAGAGCACAGGGTGACTCTCCTCAGGATTCATATTTGAAGGACAATTCAGCAGTGAATGAAGAGATTGAAGCCACAAATTCTTTTCGCTTGAATTCTAGAGAAGATGATTATGCTTCATTTCTAGACAGATCTGTTCCAAGGAATGCTTCCTTCATGGGATGGGGAGGTGCTGCTTAGCTGGCCAGTCGAAGCAGCACAGTAAAATGGCTACTGATGCTGGATTTTTTAGCAGGAAATCTTTCAAAGATGTCGATTGCACAGATGACATGGTCGGTGCTTTGAGGGGCCTGATGTTCCTTCGCCCTTCACATATTCAGGTGTTTCTTAGTTTCGGCTGAGAAAATTTGCTTTACTTTTTCTTCTGGTCTATACCGGAAGTCTCACACTATATGATAACCTCTGATCATGTTTGATAGGATGAACCCCTTATAAGCTTGCTTAGTTTCTATGATCTCAGAGAATCATGATGCTGTCAAATCTAGTAAATTTGATCGAAGAAAAATTTTATGGGTTTCCTCTCATGCAAACATTATATAAATTCTGTTCAGCCAAATTCTCATATTAGATCCTTGGCTTGCTTCTGAATCTGTCCACAATTATGTCAATGAAATTATCCAAATTGATCACTGGTTTGATTTGGGAATAAAGTGGCTTGTGGAAACTCAAGTAGCACTTTTATGTATTTTTTAATACTGCAGGCAATGGCATATTGACCTATTATAGAAGGAAAGACTTGTGTTATTACTGATCAGAGTGGATCTGGTAAGACATTGGATTATCTTGCTCCAACTATATAATGCTTAAGACAGGAAGAGATACTAGGGCTTGGTAAAGCATCATCAAGGAGCCCAAGAGTGATAATATTGGTTCCTACTGCTGAATTGGCTTCACAGGTTGGTGTTTGGTGTCACCATCACCATCTTTTTCTCTCTTTATCGTTTTTTCTCTCTGAGCCACCAATAGTTGAACTTGATCTATACCATTTAGTTTTGATGGTTTGGTTAAAGGTGGCTAGTTTGCTGTAATTAATTAACCAACTGTGAATGCAGAATTTTGGCTTAATCTCTGGTCATTATTGTTTATAGGTGAAATATCAAGTGATAATTAGCAGTTTGAGAAACCAAATAAGTGACTATTGACATGTTTAAGAAAAACACGGATGAATGCCTTTACAACAGTATCATAAGCTACCAAACACGACATCATTGATCAATCTGTCTGTATTATTTGACATTAATGAGAAAGAATTTATTGTGTTTTGTTTAGTTTTAAAAGCACAAATAAAGTTAGAAACCAATTATTGGTCATAGACATGCAGTATCATCCCTTTGCATGCTCTTGGGATATAGCCAGATAAATAACTCTGTACAGCAAGTGTATGTATAACACTGTGCAGATCATGTGTATCCCAAGATCATGCTCTTGCGATATACTTCGTTCATGTATAATCCTATGCAGATCACTTTTATGTTCTCCTTACTCTTTCTGACACAGGGAATGAAATTAATCTAAATTAAAGTTGCCAAACTCACAAAATTTGTTAAATGAGAAATCTAGTGGACCTACATTGAAATGGAAACCAACAGCTTGTCCCTTTGTTGTTACAGGATAAATATCTTGCCGCTCTGTCCTTCAATTAGATGAATGATGGCCATTGCCTGTAGCAATTAACTTGATTTGGAACTTTTACTGACCTACATTTTCACTTGCAAGTTCTTGTTGACTGCAGTGGTGCTGATGGGGAGGAGAAGAATCCAGATACTGCTTTGAAAAATAAGAAATATGTTCTTCTGCAGCTTTTAGAAGAATGGCAGTTCCTAAAACAATTGTTTTCTGCAATAAGGTAATGTTGAATTTTTAAATTTATGTTTTGACTAATTAGAAACATGGAAGTTATAAAAATAAAACAGAATGAGTAATGTAATCATGCTGACTGGACATAGTATTGCTTTCTTACTTCGGCAAATTTAAGGTCCATCTTAAAAGAATGTGTCTTAGCCGAGGAGCCCTTCATATGTTGACTTCAAGTTGGCAGCATCTTTTGTAATAGTAGGCAATCATTCCTCGAGTTCTGCCGATTGCATCCAACTGGGTGTCTCCTTTTTATGTTAAGCAGTTACCTTGTTTTGTTCCACAGATTGAAATTTGCAGAAAGGTCAAGAATGTGTTGAATCTCTCCGGCAGGAAAGGATCTCAAATCAAAGTCTTGCCATTCCATGCCGCTATAGCTCAGGAAGTACTCTTATCAAACATGAGGGTTTCTTAACTCATGTTCAAAAGATTTAATGTTTGTGATCTGCACTGACAGATAACACAAATGTGGCAAATATTGTATTCATTGTCTCAAAATTATCTATGTAGCTTGCTTTAGAAAGCATGAAAATTAGAAAACACATCTGATTTACTAACGCATGTGACTTGTTTAGTTTCATAATCCTCGAATTCTGGGAGCCTGCTCCAAATCTAGCAAAGTGTGTAGCGAAAAAGAGTTGCTCAATAAGCTATAATGCTGGTGTTTAGATAGCAGTTTAGCTGGTTTAACTTTTATCACATGTCCTTTACTCTTGTAAGTAATATACTGTCATGGCTTCCGGCTAATGAACACTTTACCGTAGCTCATTTGAGTTGTCTTACTTTGATTGTGGTGAAATAACCAATTGCAGGAAAAGGCATGGCTGACAAACTGATATTGCATGCTGAATTAGGTATAATAGCATAGTTTTTTTAAGACCATACACATTAATTAATGATATATTGAAATCCTTGGTTACAATTATCTTCATCATGCCCTCTGCCTTTTTCTTTTTTTTTTATCTTCCTATGCTTCTGTTGAATAAAAAAGAAAGAAAACCGAGAATCTGGGTTCGGTAGGTAATGACATGGCAATTAGTCCTTTTTTCCTCACTGATATTGATGATCTTTCGACAGGGCATCACGGGGCATAGACTTTGCAGGTGTGGACCATGTGTTACTCTTTGACTTCCCTCGTGACCCTATCGAGTATGTCTGTCATGTTGGAAGGACAGCTCAGGGCGCCGGAGGCAACGGCATGGCCTACAGACAAAGCAGGTCTCCTTGGCCAGGAGGATTATGGAAAGGAACAAGAAAGGCCATCCATGCCATAGGTGACTGCTGCTTCTCTCTTCTCCAAACTGATGATCCTCTCTATCTTATACCACAGGTGCTTGACCGATGCTCCTGTTTCTTGTTTCAATAGCGAGATGACAAAGAGAAGCTGTCAAGAGCAACACCGTGTACCACCGAAAACCTGATTGGTTGAGGTAATCTTTCTGACATCATCTTTTATGCTTCAGTTCATCCTAAATTCTCATAAAATTTTTCATATCATGCTCTGAACTTACAAATAGCTGATTCTTGAACTCGAGAACACCGGCTTTCTTTCTATCTGCTGGTTGTGGGATTGGAGAACTACGAGCAAATAAAGTGGGAGACTCATCTCCAAGCTGTATCTTCATTTCACAGCTTTTCATTGTCATGAAAGATTTTGGCACATATCAACCTTATCTATTTTACATTGTTTTTATCTACACATCATGTCTCTGATCCGATGGATCATTGAAACATTCCATATCCCCACAAGTGTAAATTATCAACTACATCAGCAAGTACTAGGATCAAATGGTTCTTGTATGGACATCAAGATCCTCACAAGTGTCAATTATCAATTACAATCGATTTACATTCAATATTATTTGTGAATGATCATCAATAAATTCTGAAAGAATTTATTCCTTAATCATGCTTGATGTGATGTCTTTCCATTGATTGGATATGGTCTAATCCAAGATGTTCATGAACAATTCGCTTCGATTACCAGCTCTCATATTCATCCAACTTTTCTAGGAGAACATGATATCAAAAACCAAAAACATTGTGAGTTTAGCATTGCTCGAAAAAGTCATCGTTACAAATTCTTACGGAGGCGTTTGATACGAAAAATATTTACTTTAATACATATGATAGCATAGTTTGTAAAAAAAAATATATATATTAATAACAATTAAGTCATATGGACATCAATCCAAAATAGTAAATTAGAAAAATATTTCTTTCAATTAAATCTATTATAAAATTTGAATTTGGCTACAAGAATCGATGTCAATGATTGTTTATTCAAAGCTTTTATCGTTTTGGGATCTAACTAAATCGTCAAAGGGATCACATTGAGAATCCCATTCAATCTTGTTTTTTGTATAGATCAACCACTAAACAAATACCTGAGTCGTTTTTGAATTGATCTTGTCATCATCCATATCCCTTACATCAATGTCTCATGACTTGGTGCTTGGGAATAGGGGTGATCGTGACTTGGAAACTATCGATTTTGATTTTCAAATCATTTGTTTTGATTTTTCAAACTAAAAATCGGAACTAAACTACACAGGTTCAGATTCTGGAAGTGAACCAGAACAGTTTATTCCGATTCGAGCAGTTCCGATTTTGGTTCGAATCATCAATTTTTTTTATTAAAAATAATTATATATATATATATTTATTTATTTATTTATAATTTTATTTTTTAAAAAATAAATATATAACTATAATGAGTGTAGTAACATACAAAAAAATTATATGAAATTATAAAACTATAAAAATTATAATCAAATAAATGACATTATAAAGATTCAAAATAAGGTTTCTTTAATTTAAAAGCAACACTTTAATCATTATAACATGAGCACTCTTTTTGTTATATATATATATATATATATATATATATATATATATATATATATATATATA